GCTCCCTCGCTCGGCCCCATGCATCACTTGATCTGTCTGCTGCAGCTCTTTTTGCACGAAGGAATTAACTCTCCGAATGTAAAGGAAGAAAAATGCTCATGTCAGACCTGCTTTGTATAAGAGGTGACCCCCGGTGCTTTTTGCCTCTGGTGCTCTAATAGGCTCTGAAAGTCCTAAACACACACACACACACACACACAAATACCCACACGTTTACACACAGCCTGACTGTGCAGTCCCTCCGTGATGAAGGTTTTCCCTCCCTTCCTCTTTTTTAATGACGTTCATTAGGATTTTGATTACACCGAATGTGTGATAACTCTTGCCTCGGTGGTTAGCGTGTCTGAAATGTCAGCTGCGACTGTGAGTGACAAGAATTAACCGAAGGAAGCCAGAAGCGTGAGTCACAGCGGTGATACTCGCACTCGGCTTCACTCCAGTGCTCTTAAAAGAAAGGAAACACATTTTCATAAGCCAGTTTTGCCTCTGGATTATTAAACTCTGGACCCTGCTGTAAAGAAATTGCGGCTCTATATCATGGGGATGATGAAATAAATGCAAATTAATCTTTCATGCTCAATTTATTATCCAATAAACAGAGCGTGGATTTGAATTTGAATAGTGGCCCTGCAGAGGACAGGCCACACAATTGCCGGTTACCCTCTTTTTTTCCAAACTGCCTTTGTCTTGTTAGAAAGAAATCCCCGGGTTAGAGCGAGTGGAAGACACAGAATTCTGTGCTTTTATTGTGAGGCAGCACTCCCTATAAAAGCAAAGCCGGTTTAACAGTGGTTTTTCCGCCCTGGGGGGTATGGCTTAACTGGTCCCTCTGTCTAAAACGGTGCCTCATCAAGAAACACGGCACAGCGCGGCACCTCAGGGTCAGCGGTTACGAGGCCTCATTGGCATCCAAGACGCGGCCGCTCCTCGGACTCTGCTGTGGAATTTTTCAGTGTCACACAGATCACAAACCGGGCTGCTTTTCATGAGCGTGCGAGTGTTGATCACGTATCTGCATGCTCGGGATCCCATTTATGAGTCTCTTAAAATTCAGAAACCCCCACTAGGAACGCAATTAAATCCAATACTGCTCCAACTACATGAGAGGCCTGTGTGAAAGCCAGAGAGAACGCCCACTCACACCCCTCCTCGCTCACTCACTACAACCCCCCACCACCTCCTCTTTCCCTTTCCCAATCAGCATTGAAAGCCCCTCCCCCTCATCCCGCCGCCGCCGCAGAGTGAATTGTGGTCAATTTGAATGATCAACTGAAGACAATCTGGGAGGTAATAGCTGTCACTGAGGATATCGGGCTGTAATGAGCTCTGCCAACAGCAGACCTGTGTGCACGGGATAGTCGATGTGATTCCTCTCCACTCTTGTTTGTGTCTAAAGCTCCTGTGGCATGCAGAAACACCCCCCTCCCTCCCCAAAATTAGACCGCTCTGTCGCCGCTTTCCTCGGCTCCACGCTGGGAAAAGGTTGCATCCTGCTACGCTAAGCTAAACCGTTCTGTTCTGTGCTTGGCTCTATGTCATGAAGCTGCTGTTGCATCTGATGCAGTATAAGCACTGGGCTCATCTCATCGGTTCTCAGCCACTGGTTTTCCTCTCCAGAATGCTTCCGAGGGGCTATAATCTCGCTGACATAATGGCGTCCACTGGGATCGATAGCCAAATGGCAGAGTGGATCAATAGCTACCATACTGTAAAATAACGTGGTCTGAGAAAGGGAGAGGCGGAGGGAGGAAGGGAGGGAGGGGAGAGCCTGCAGCAATCGTATGTGTGACTCTGGAAACTCTTTGAAAGTATACTCCTTAATTATGGATCAAAAATACCAACCTTGTTAACGAGCCATGTATTATAGATCGCTCCATGATCTATGCTAATGTAAGCACAGCAGCTGCAGAAAAAAGAGGAGGAAAAAAAAAACTGGCAGGACCTTACTTGCTTGCTTGCTTTTCCTTTTAACTACTTCACATGCAAATGCAGACTCACTGAGGGAAAGTACAAGAAAAACGGAGAGGAGGAAAAAGCTCGCAGGAGAAAACAGGCCTCTGATTGGTCAGAGAGCGTTAACCTTCATCAAATGTACAACATATCTATATATCCATATAAATATACATCTTTACGTCCTCGATACACAAAACAAAAGTGCTCACACATCTAACCTATTTAATTACCAGTCTGTTTGCTTTCCCTTAGGAGCCAGGAAATTCATTAATCAAGCTTTTATCCGAGCCTGGCCAAGAGATAAAACATTCACTCTATATGTAGGAAGACAGCAGAGGAAAGTTCCTGCAGTGTTATCAGGTAGAAAACAGCCACAGTTTTTCACTTTCTGCTTTAAAGGCTCCTGAAATTATCCACCTGTTTGAAATGTTTTCTCTGCAGCACCCTCAGAGATGATATTATGCACCGCAAAGCAGCATAATGGCTTTTGGCAAAGAAAAACAAACAGGAGAGCTAACTAGCTAAGGGTCACAGCGAGAGCTCGGTAACTGCTGCTATTCCGACAGAGAAGCAAATTACCCAGAATGGAGATAAGAAGTTTATCTTTCTGTCAGGACGACACAGCGAGGGCTGATGCATGATTAGATCCAGCTTTAAAAGAACCGCCGCCACCCTCCATGGCGGCTCCTCTGTCGGAGGGCAATTTGGCAAACTGCTCAGCATCTCATAAAGCAGAGTTGCAATAGCTTTTCGCCGGACATCTATAAATCAAAGGCTCCAAATCGGAGAGTGTCGCCCGGGGAGAAAACAAATTTGCAGATGTGGATTTTGACCAATCACTGCCACTGTTGATTAAGACTGGGAGGTGTTATGGCGTTATAAAACTCTTCTGGCGCCGTAGTTCCTCCTTATCGCTGCTTTCACCGAGGCCATTTTTTAGCTGTTAGCTCGGCCAATTTGATACAGTGGAAAAGGAGAAAAAAAACAGGAGTTGTAGCAGGAGCCTCTCCCTGTTTCTGTTTACATGAAATGTTGACAAGTCGTTACAACACATGTCACCGTATATGTGGTTATGTCGCTCCACATACAAAGACGCGCACAGACATTCCCCCAGATAGTTCCAGGCACCTTCTCGCTCCTGTGCACACCACGCTTTAAAGGCAGCGTGGCTGTGCTGTGCGGGTACATGGCGGTGAAATATTGGAGTCATTGCAGCCCTGCAGGCATGCAGTTATCAGGGATACAGGACTGATGGGAAATCAATCAGCTCAAGTGGAGTGGCCTGGCCCTTGGTGAGGAGATGATTCTTGTCTTCTCGGGATGCAGTTTGATGTCAGCAGCTCCTTGATCAAACTACTGGAGTAAAACATGCGTGTCAGTTTGTATATATGAAAATATGTGTCCGCTCTATCATTCCGCCTATGTCGGCTATCATCTATCTGTGAGACGCTCATGTTTTCTGACAAGTACCCGTCATGTTAGGAGTGATGATTGCCTCGTATAGTAGACTAAAAGCTAATGTATGTTACTGACTCTGAGCTTTAAACAGAACTGAACCTGAATACTGGACTGAAGTTTGACTAAAGTCGGATCAGCTTTTATTCACAGAGACAGGCCTCTCTTCAAGTCCCACTCTGATCATTTTTTTACTACTTTAAGGGCCTGATCTACTAAGATCCAGAATAGCGAGCGCTACATTGTGTATGCAAACTAAAAGACTGCACATGCAAGAGGAGAGTTTGTGAGAGCAGAGTGGTTGAAGCCATGGAGTTGCACATATCGTTTTGGGGAACTGCATAAAGACAAGGGAAGTTTATCTGTACAGCACCATTCATACACAAGATAATTCAAAGTGCTTTACAGATGCAAGAAGATATACTAGAGATCAGAAACAGGATTAAGAAGATTTAAAATCATTAAGACAAACAGATACATGTTTTCGTTTGTTTTATGTTTGACCTTATTATTCATGAGAATCGTCATTTACCGGAAATACAAAATAAATCAGAAGCTTTTGGGCGAGGATCATGGCGTCTATCATGGCAGTTTTGCATCCTTCTCTCCTAATGTCTTTAGGGACACAATGAAAGTTAATATCATAATTAACTTTCTTATGAGTACTGCAACCAGCTAATGCACACACTTGTTATGCGATCGTCCTCTCTACTTCTCCGAGTCTGGATTGCATAGCGGGGCTCTGGGGGCGGAGCTTGGATTTGAAACATAGGAAATCCCACTTTTTCTGAACCTGTCTGTGAGAGATTCAGAGATTTGAACGAAGAAATACTCAGAAATGCAGTTTTTACTGTATATAGAATGGATGTCTGCCTCCTCGCTGGGTGAAGCTACTTTGAGAACAGCACCCTCTAGTGACGGGCTGCAGTATAGGTCATAAACCCCGCCTCCTTATGGAGCTGTGGACAAACTTTATAAATGAATGACACAGAATATAAATGTTTCTCCCCCCTGGTTGTGATGTTGACATGTAGTTACTGTCAGACTGGTTTGTGTTCAAGTCCTCTTTTTTCTGTACAGCTCCATTTTTAAAAGTTATTAGGGGGTTCATGTTTTCTTTGATTGACACCTGATACAGCCTATGGGCGCACGAAGACTGCATAGCTCAACCTGGGGAGACACTGTTTGAGCCGAGCTTCATCACAGCAACTTACTGCAATTCTTTCGCCGAATGCGAACAATGCTACTGCGCAAATCTGTATCCTGGCGGAAGGCGGAACCAAGTTGTCCAGAGTATATACAGTCTGTGGTCCAGTAGCATCAGAAAAATGCTGTATGAACATGTAGACAACAAGAAAAACATGATTTTCATCTAAGTGGGTCTTTAAAAGAGAACGAGATCGCCTCTATAAATGAAGGTTTAATGATCCAGAGTCTAAAGTTCTGATTGTGCCAATCCTCGTGTGTTTGGGCGAGATACTGAACCCCGGTGATTGTTCCATGGAAATGTGAATGGGATTAATTGATACTGATGAGCACTTTACATAGCATCCTCTGCTATCAGAGCATGAATATGGTGTGAACGGGTAAACATGACATGCATATAAAAGGCGATTTCCATTTATAACAGCTTAAGGAAAAAACTGAACACAGACATCTAATGGAGACTGTTTTCTAAAGCAGGTTGTGTTACATTTGCATATGCTATACAGGGGTTTGTTTGTTGTTATGTTGCTGGTGTTAAAAGATGCTCTTTTAAGGGTAAACAGTGGCACTAATGGAGGCAGGTGTGTTTACATGAGAACTATGATTATTTCCAAGCTTGTCTTAAGTATCCGTCAGCCCGTCTTCAGGTGTTTCTACCTGCGTATGAAGTTCTCTGTTTGCTCAAAAACAGCAAACCGGTCTGTTTCATCCCTGTGTCAACCTCATATCTAATTCATACACAATATTGTTGCTCACCCGCTGCGTGTGTGTGCGCCATGGAGTGCTTTGGTAGCAGCTTTTGGCCGGAGCTGAATCACACACACACACACAGAAACAAAGAGGGTAAAGGTAATGTAGTGTAGCTGGAGGCTGTAGAGGATTTAAGTGTCCATAAACATTACTGTGCCACATTATCCCACAGAGACTGTTTCCTTTATAATGATGCTAAGTAGGAATGTAAACCCATTTTCATGCAGAGCGCTCAATGGCTTCATCCTGACGGGGAGGCAGGGACAGGATGTGTGTGTGTGTGTGTGCATATATAAGTATGCATATGTGTGTGTGTGTGTGTGTGTGTGTGTGTATGCTCCATTTACATTTTCACATTTTACAGAAGCTGTTACAGCAAACAGCTTATACAACAAGCGTCACCGTACGAGCTTAAACAACCTGGCTGTCGGCATAACAAGCTTCCACATTAATCTACCGTCGTGTGTGTGCATGTGTGTGTGTGTGTGTGAGGTTGTGAACTCATATGTGCTTATACATGTAGCCATGCAAAGCGGGGGTGTCACAGCGCCGCTCCTGAGATAAACCCTCTTTGCGTGTTTTCGCTCCTGTTTGCAGGTGCTGCTTCTTCCTCGCCTTCACCTGTCCACATGCTTCGTGTTTGTATTTGTGTGTGTGGGTGCATCTGCATTTGTGTGTGGGAATCTTTGAGCTTACACTGGCCTCTGTTTGAAAATGTATGAGCACATATATCTAAGTGTATGTGTGTGTCTGCATTTGATATACTTTTTTAAAGCCGGAGAGTGTGTGTTTGTGCATTTCTGAGTGGGTAGGAAGTACCCTGCTGCTGAAAGCGGCGCAGTAAATAACTTCTAATTTAACATCTACCAGGCAAGCCAAAATCATTCGAGCATTTCAGAGAAAACTTTCAAGATATTTTTCTTTTTATTGCCTCTGAAGTTCTGCGAGTCCACCAGTGAAAGCTGCAGACGGCGGCGACAAAACTCAAGAGTAAAAGAGTAAAGAGTAAACATTACAAACACGCGTGCTTCTTCAGAGCGCGGCGGAGGTCACTGGATGGTATTTGAGTATAAAAATGATGTGAAAAGCTTTAGTTGAGATGCATTTGTCTCATAATTACACCACTTTTGGAAATGGGTTTGTCAAAATAATGCAGTAGAAGATTTCCTCCACCCACTTCATCCTACAGTTCTTTAAATGTCAGAATAACATAAAGCAAAAAAATGCAACAAACTCGCATCTGAGGCTTCACTCCTCGCGCTGAAATACATATCCAAATGCAGCCGCTCAACCATGGCCGTGAACTTAAGCTGACAGAGCTCTGCCACGGCGCTCACCTGAAAACTACACTGTCACTCGCTGTCACCACAACATTTCAAAAACGCCTCCATGCAGCTGAGCATCCATCTGCAGGATGTAAAACTATCTCAGGGTAGAGACAGAACAGGAGGAAGGAGGAGGACGAGGAGGAGGGGTGTAATATTATTTACCCCGATGATAGTGAGAGTAGAGAGTGACAGGTTTACAGCCTGGGCACCAAATATATTCATTAAAGAGATTCGTTATAAATAAATCATGATGTTGGGAAGCTGCTTCAAAAGTATTGCTTACTGTCTCTCAGTAAAACCAGCAGAAGAAAAATGTCAAAGCTGCTAAAACTAAAAGTTAAACAGCTAAAAACAAACATTACAAAAGTTTGGCACGGTCACCTGGAAATAAAGACCTGTGAGATTTGACGACTTGTTGACAAAACAGAAATTTCTGATCATGCATTATGTATAAAAGGGTCCAAATTATGAAAAAGTATTGCCAAATTCCTTGCAACCCCTGAATGCAACAAAGATTCAACCTGATCCAAGCAAAGAAACAGCAAGGACTGTTTTCCTTTTTTTTCATGCAATTCTAGATTTTGTTTCATTTTGACGACTCAAAGTTCAGAAAAATCCATCTCCCATCTTTCTCAAGGTGCAAAAACTCAAAGTTTAGCAATCAAACTTCATATCTCACACTGTTCTGATAGCAGACATTTGTCTGAGACGCCGAGCTCAGGTGGTATCTCAGATATTGGACAAACTTTTAACCTGTTTGTTTCCAATAAAGGAGAGTGAAACAACTCTGGTGCTGTTTGTATCAGCTTCTCTCCATCATCAGGTCAAATTCATGCTGAACAAACTTCCCGGTTTAGAGTTAAGTTAGCAGCAAAGGTGGGTGGAGTGAATCAAAGTAAATTAGTCACAGCCTGCAGTATGTCCATCTTCTAAAGCTGGACTGAACTCTCTTTACTGCAGGACTGAAACTCAGCACAGCGAAAAGAGGTGCTCAACAAAAAAGAGCCCGTTGTGGATCACAAAGGCCCTGAAACCCCCTGATTAAGCATTATATTATAGAAATTACAGTAATCAGGGGGCACTTACACAGACAGTTAAATGTCACTAACTGAGAGACTTTGTGTCTTTCCCTTCAGCTTTCTCCGCCCGTCCCTCTCAGGATAAGACCAGGGGAAAATGGTCAGTATTTGACTTTGCTGAAACTCCGACAGTTTGAAAGATAGGGGGGCATCAAAATTTAATAAATGACATGAGTTATGACATTTTCTACTTTGCCTTTTTCCCTCCACTGCCTCCGTTAGATTGTAAGTGACAGCTCGGCTTCAAGTCAGGATCCCCCCGGTCACAAGTGGCTCTTGGCCTTCTGGTGGCCCTGCCAGTTTGGTTTGGAGGAAAGGGAACGAGGTATCAAACTGATGTTTTTTAATTCGATTTATTTATTTAGCACAGATTAAAAACTGTGCATGGAGGGGACGAAGGTGATAGGTTTTTTACAGAGTTCTACATCCGTCAGGGCCGTGAAGGCGTAGGGTGCAAACGACGAAGTAATGAGGACATAGACAGGTTATAAATATACGATGATTAGGAAAAGATTAAAACATGTACAAATTGTCATAAATAGAATAAAGACTAATCATCAACCAGAAATAGAGAAAATATAAGAATAAATAAAAACATTACGGTGCTCATTTGTGGAACAGCCTACCTGCAGACCTGAGAGCGACACCTACTGTTCATATTTTTAAAAGTAAACTAAAGACCGACCTTTTTAGTCTGGCTTTTAGTTAAAATTTCTTTTAATCTGCATTATGTGATTTTACCCTATTTTAGTCCAAGAGTAACTATTTTGTGCTTTATTGATTGATGATTGGTTGATTCTTTGACTGTTTTATTTAATCAAATTTTAAATCTTTATCACCTTTATTATATTTTATCATGGTTTTATCGTTTCAGTCTGATTGATTGAAAAAGAAAAGAAACATAAACATAACAGATAATGACGTGTTTAAGACGTGATTAGATGAGATTTCAGAATCAGAATCAGAAGGGGTTTTATTGCCATTGTTGATGAACAGGATTCACAGACTAGGAATTTGTTTTGGCATGATGGTGCAACAATAAACAGAAAGAAATATATAATACTGCTTGAATGAACAGCAGTTTGTGCAACATTATATGTATGAAAAGTGCTTCAAAAATAAAGTCTGATTGATTAAAAAGAAAACTAAACAATCTAGAACAACAGTGCGGTGGGAGGAGTGCAATTTAAAAATCCAAAGTGCATTAAACTAAAGTTCAATGATATTTTAAAAGATTTGAAGGATAATATTGATTTTAGAGATCCATCCAGATCAGTCCATAGTTTCTCTAAAAGTGATATTAGACTGATGACAAGAAGTTCTACAGAAAGGTAACTGAAGACAGTAATTTTGTTTCATTGAGTAATCATTAGGACCAAAATTATATTGGTCTTTTTTGTGCATCATGTAAAGTGAGAATAGAGACACTGAGAAAAAGGGGATTTTGTGCAGATGTGTGTATATGTGTGTTTGTAAATGATATAATGTCTCTCCATATGCCCGTCAGCACAGCTGCACACTGCACAAACTGATTACGGCACGGTCCAGCAAATTGAATAACAATCTATATGTGCACATATGTGACTGATTCCACCCAGCTGGATAACATAAACCATAATTATGATAGCCAGAACATACTGTGCAGACTGTATCCTGCTGCTGTACTGTTTATCTTTTTACTAATGGACAAAAAGCAGCGACAGTGAAGGTTATATGAGCTGAAGCACGGTCCGAGCTGAATGCATGCGGTGGATAATGAGGGGACGTCCTCTAAGCATGCATATTAGAGCAGGTTGAGACTGTTTCTGCAGGAAAAAAAAAATAGTGTTTGGACAACCTTTTGTATGAAGAGCTCTGGGTGCTGTGCAGGTGTGGTTGAGTGTAATTACAGTATATGTGTTTGCTTGTAATTAAGTCAGGCCCGCAGAGGCAGCACCCGAGCTTGTCTAGGCTACATGTGCGGTGCTCCAAAACACAGGCTCTCATGATTTAATTACTGCAACTACACACACACATATACACACACAAACACAGGGAGAACAGTGAACCAACAGAGCATGTCTCACACTCCCTCGTATCGCTCTCTGTATTCCCCTCTCATTTGTCCCTTCGCCAGCCCTCCCCGCATTCACTGGCTTGAGAGGTGCAGAAAGAAGGTGGCCACCGTGGCAGGAAATTAACCTTGTTGTATGGGGCCATCTGACCCATCTGTGGGACATTACTGCCAGTGTGTTGTTCGTTACAGCCCAGCGAGTGCAGTAACTATTGCATCAGCATCGATACAGATCAAGTCTGACATTGTGGGGGGGTCAGGCTCCCTCAGCCGGGACTGGTGGACTGGTAGCTATCGCTAGAGGCAGTTAGCATTGACTTGTACGAGTGTAACTGTGGCGGTGATTGGCAGGAGCAGATGCTGCTGTGTCATTGCCCTTTGGCTCTGGGGATGGAGGGCTCCAATTTAAACTCCCATATTAGTTTTTCAAACCTTTATTTTACCATGATTATTTTATAGATCAGATACTGATCTGCTTTAAACAGGAAGTCCGTGCTGAAACAGCAGGATCTGGCGGTGGCAGATGGCCGTTCATCAGTTTGTCTGGATGTCTCTCACTGACATATAACAAAGAAAAGTAGGACACATGTCCTCTGTAAAATGTCCTGGAGTAACCCTCACGACTTAAAGCTGTGCACATAAAGACGAACTGATTTACTGTATAAAATACTGGTATAACCTCCAAATCTACCGTATTTTTCGGACTATAAGGTACACTTAAAATCCTTACATTTTCTCAAAAATTGAAAGTGCGCCTTATAATCTAGCGCACCTTATGTGTGATCACTTGTTGTGCTTACAGACTAGTTTTATGTGATACAATGCACTCAAAATAAGTACAACTTAATGTATATTCGGAGTATTACGGTACGCTGTGTCAACCGAAAAATACCTTAATGAGTAGCTGGTCTATGCTACGGTTCGAGGTCTCTAATAAGATCTAGTAGTTTGACTGAAAACCATTTCCTCTTCACCACTTTAAATGTTATGTAACATGATAATCTTCTCTGTGCAGCCACAAGAGTGTCCACAAACGGCATATCTGTGCACTGATAGATTCAGACAATAGGAGCTAGGGATGAGCGATAAACTGAAGATTTACCGATACAGAAATTTCCGACAATAACCTACGTCCTTTTGCCCATACCGTCTTCCCCGGTGCTGTGGTGTTAACACTCCAGGTCATGTCCTCCTTCAGTTTGCTCAAGAACTGGAACTCAAAGACCCTCTTCTGCAAGTAAACTGGTGTCTGGTCAGGCTTGAGAAGATGTGCACTTCTAAATGACTGCTGAATGGTAGTCATTCAGGCTGGAGAACCTCTTACAAGGTAAAATGGTAGAAGAACTTCTCTGAGTCCTGCAGCCTTCCTGGGCTCCACCGCTCTCAGAGTGAACCTCACCTGATGCTCCTTCACCATCAGGATGTAGATGCTTGCAGAAGCTCCAACTCAAGATGTGGTGAAGCTCCTCTGCCAGCCAAACATCCCCTGATGGATTTGTAGCTGCTTAAGCTCTGTGTTTATGCAAGAATAGAGCAGATTTGAGAGTCTAGCTGCAGCTAACATTAACTCAGCATATTTCAAGGTACTCTGCTCGTTTTCATCGTTGCAAAAGAAAAGGTCTTGCCAAAGTTTTTAGGCAGATGCATCTAAAAAAGAAGTCTTCAATTGTTCTTGTTTTGTTTCTGTCACGTATGTATGCACCAAACAAAGCCAAAAAAGTGAGAGCTGTTTGGAGTCAAACTTATATTATTATAATAAAATGAAGTCTCCCTCTGTGATCGCTGAAGTTCAGGTTTTGTAAGAAAAAGAAGAAAATGTACCTGAACATCTCTATAGATAATCCTCGGGATATGTTTTCACGATCCGCCATCTTTACACAATAGTCGAGTAAGACGGCTTTGTGTCTCAAAGGTGAAGGACAAGAATCGTTTCAAGCAGATTCATAAAACCAACAAACATAAAGCCTCGGCGAGACTGAAAGCTGCAGAAACTAAAGTTTGGAGAAAAAAGAAGAAGGCAGTAGTTCATGTAGTTCGGCCTCACAAAAGAAAGACGTGCCTTTCTTCTCAGACATACTTACTTGTCAGCCCTCCCTCTCTCTCTCGTGTCTCTCCTTCTTTCTGAGCAGCACTTAAACACAAGCACCAACAGGCAGGAGATAATGCAAGGACACACACTCACCCGGCAGTGATGTACTCTCACGTGTTCGGCTTCATCCTGTGTGTGTGTGTGTGTGGGCTCGAATACAAAAGGCTTGTCCTTCTTATCTTTGCCTGTTGTCTTTTTGCCTCTCCGTGTGTGTGTGTGTGTGTGTGTGTTTGTGTGTGTGTGTGTGTGTGTGTGTGTGTGTGTGTGTGTGTGTGTGTGTGTGTGTGTGTGTGTGTGTCTGCAGAAGAGAGTAGAAGAGAATTCTCCGACGATCAAATGTGAAGAAACGCTCGTGGGTTTTTGTTTCTGAAGAAGAAATGTTTCTAACCGGCCTGTCTCTCATCTCAGCACGCCACCAATAGGCATTCTCCACATCCACGCCGCTCTGCAATTAGCCGAGAACGGCGGCGCAAACACAGATAAACAAAGAAGAAACAATTCACACCTTGCCCCTCGCGAAGCCCTCAGACGAAGTCAAACGATATTATCATCCCCTCGATAGATTCGGGGCAGGTGAGGGCCCGCTCTGCCAAACGGCCCCTCTTACGCCCTTGAAACACATCAAACAAAAGCAGATGCAGGAGCTTGTTTGTTCAAACACTTATTAAAAGCCCATATAGGCCGTTTATGTGGGTGTTGATTCTGGGACCGGAGCTAAACGCGGTGGTGGGTGCTTCATCCTTGTCCACACAGCGCTCTGGCAGCGCGGGCCCGGGGCCGCTGCCCACAGTTTCATGTTAGAGCCAGAGGAAGAGACTGCAGCCACCGTCACCACCACCACCGCCACCGCCGCTATTATCACCACCAGGGCTAAAGAGCTCCGTCTTCCAGCAAACGCACTCTTCCATGCGAATCTGGCAGCAGAGTTAAAGAGATGGCTCCAGGAATTAGAGAAAAAAAACAAGATGAATTATTGTCTCTGTCTTTCTAACCGTTCCTCCTCGTCTTCTTCATCTTCTTCTGTTGGAGCTGATTTTTCTTCGAGAAAATATTTATGCTAAATGAAAGCTGACTGGCACGGTCTCTGAAGTGTGATGCTTTTGAATGTTATTCTTAGCCTCAGCAGATCAATATCACCTCTCTCTCTCTCTCTCTCTCTCTCTCTCGGTCCGTCTGCTGGAACTTTGTTGTAATGATTTTTTTTTTTTAAACCTCGATAACTCTCAGGAGTTGTCTGATGAAACCTGCAGATTCTGGGTCTCCTGGTGGGTTTTCTCATCTAAAAGTTGTCAGGCAGAATAATGCTCCCTCCCCGTGTCTCATATCCTTGTATCTCATATCTCGCACTTTTAATCTCTTAATGATAATTGAAGTGAATTGTTCGATTCACAGCAGTCGCTCATGTTGATGAAAGTTGACTGATATGCAGGAGGGACTCTTGGTTGGCATCTTTAAATAATAGGAGTCTCTTCTTCTTAGGTTTGTTAACTCAGTCAGTACTATTGACAGATTTTGATGTTTATTTCCGTTTTTTTTTTGTTCTCCACCAGAGGGCGCTCCTCCCCAAACATGCGACTAAGTTCTGGGTCATTCTGAATGCAGAAAAGTTGACAAATACGTCACAACCATGTTACAATAATAAAAACAAGTACTCGCCAAAGAGAGGTGTGCCATTAAGTGGCCCAGTTAGCTGAGTTTCGGAGTGTTAGGGTTAGCCAAGAGCAAACGGTCTCAGCGCATTGGCTCCTGTTGGCGCGGTGCTACCGTCTCTGGTCACGTGACATGGAAGCTATTGAAGGAAAACAGCCTTTTTTGAGAACATCAACCGGTAATTTATTGACGGTCCCTTATGCAACACCGGACGTTGACAGTGAGGGTGCTGAGTAGATTTAACCGCGCTGCTGTCACGATTGACGATTGTGGAGAGAGAGAAGACACTGTGGAATAACCAACCTAAAACTGACTTTGCCGTGGTATTTACATGAAAAAACATTTGTTGCCTCAGCTAATTTTTCTCATGTGCACATGTGACCCTAAATACATTTTACAGTTCACACACATCTATTTTTGGTCGCAAATGCAAGTGAAACGGTCACACTGTCATGCCCTGACTGGTGAGCGAGACTGAGCCGGAATTCAGCAACAGTCCCCATAAAGAGGATGTAAGCAGTCCGCGTCACGGCGTCAGGTTCTCAATCACAATCGGATCTCGAGAGTGATAAGGAGTGGTGTCCGAGGAGGGAAGACCTTGATGCCGTCGGTAAAGTAGTTTGAAGTGAAATGAAATAGATGATCAGAAATCTGCTTGAAAGTCTCTCCTTCGTAAAAATGTGTTTTCCCAGATCGGCAAAGATGATATGACCACGCTGCATTGAGCAGGCAATAACTAAACACAGTAGTGGGTTAGAGACCAACTTTTTCTGGTAAAAGAAGAGAATCACCTCTTTCTTTTGAGATACTGCGCTTAATTCTAGTCCAAGGACAAGATATTCTGTGGGTCCTGAAAGATACAGAGATTTCTGTTGCGGTCAATGGTGGCACTGGGTGAAAATTGCATAAATGAACCTGGCACTGAATGAGTTAATCCAGACTGTTTAATTTTAACTCTGATGTGAAGTTGGAAATTTTAATATGAGGCCTAATGGGGATTGACTCACCACTGCAGCCAGCCTCAAGTGGCCACAGTGGGTACTGCAGTGACTCTTCAGCAATTTTCCATCCACTCTCCGCTTCTGCAGGGTTGCATCACAGCAGCTGTCAGAGTGCATTTTTTCCTCCTGGTCAAACACGCTCTGCTGGCTCTCTATTTACAGGCGAGCCGGTCAACAGGAGTCAGAGAGGTGAATCAGAGGTTGACCGGTGCCCCGCTTCACTGGAAAGAACGAGGTTTACAAGGTCTCTGTCAATAGCCGTGACAAGCTACAAGCGACATTTCTGCACTCATGACTGCTCTGGGCAGGCCTGTATACTGGAGCTCGATTCGATGGTCAGGGCATAACTCTAACAACCCCCACTGGGCCTACGCAGGAGGGTCCGGTCTGTCATAAAACACCTGTGTAAAAACATCAGGTACGAGAGAAAAAAGGCTTCATGTATGACAGCCTGAAACCTCTCTAAAACAAACAAACGAGCAGTCTGCAGAAATGATAAAAGCACGAATCAAATAGGATTTTAGTCATCTTAGCAGAAGCCCACACAACACAATTCATCACTGTCACATAGTGGGAGAAAAAAGCAGTAAGCTTTTCTCTGCGAACGTGCCCATCCCTGTCGTTAGTGTTCTCGCTTTCAAGATTGATGAGGGAAAATTTAATTTAAAAGAATCAATATGTACCTTAGAGCTGAAACTATCAGTCAAATAGTCCATAAGGGAATCAACAAGGGGAAAATTTGAAAAATAATTTGATTGTTAATTAATCTTAAAGCTCCAATGAGGAGTTTTTAACTGTCAGAAATCATATTGATGCCTCTTTATCACCTATAAAAGAAAACAAGGCCATTACTTTAAAGAAGAGAGACTTTTTCTAAGAAGTAATGTGTCAAATCACTGAGGAGAGGAGCGCTCAGGGTTATTTACCGCCTCAGAACCTCATTTACTCTGAATCTGACTGTTAAAAAAACAGGATCAACATTTTTGTCAAGAAACATTAGCTGCAAAGGGATAGGACCAAAGACTGTATATGAGGGCTGGGCGATAAACCGAGAATTTACCTATCTTGAAATTTACAACAATAACCCACGTCATTTTGCCCATATCGGTGTATTCGGAGTCAAAAAAGTGGCTTCAGTGGCTGAAGTAGACAAAGTTAATTTGGGAGGGGGTGAGCAGCTTGTGGAGTAGTTATCGTCCATTTATCGTTATTGAGGTGAACTGATCAATATATCGTGATATTGATTTGAGGACATATCGCCCAGCCCTAGTATATACTATGGACAACTTGGCACCGGCTTCTGCCATCATTGTACAAATTTGTGGCTGGAGGAGGCGGGATTCATGACCTATACTGCGGTCCGTCACCAGATGGGGCTGGAGGAGGCAGATGGCGTCCATTCTATATACAGTCTATGTATAGGACAAAATCAGCACAAGAGCACTGTGTCCACAGGGGGGCGCCAACACTGACATAAACTATACAGGAATGTTAAAGTCATTTTAAAGCCCAATTAAATAACAGTACTGGATTATGAGACTTCTTACTGGTGGTCTGGTTTGAACTTTTTGACCTTCCACCGAAGTTACTGTAAACATCAAACTTTCTGATACAGCTAAAATAGGGTGACAATATTCTGAATCCCCAAAAAGGGGACATGACTACATGAGGGCGGAGCCACAGAGTTGCACGTAGAAAATTTTAAGATTTTGTCAGGTCGGATTGAGTGTCTTTTATGCGCTTCCAACTCAGAAAGTCGACACGACACAAACTCAAAACTTCCATACAACATTTCATAAACTCCCCCGGACAAGGCTGGACAGCCCCCCAAAAAGAGGACATGTACGGGTAAAAGAGGACGTACGGTCACCCTCACTAAAAACTCCTCACATGGGCTTTAAATTTGCAAAATGTCAAACCAAGAAGTCTTTGTCCGTTTTGCTTTTATTTTTGGTTTAAAGAAAAATTCAATTGTAAAAAAAAGTCCACTACAACCCCAGAGTAGCTACGACCTTAGTATTAAAAACACCGTTAAATAGGTACTTCTCCCTCTCTTACTCCTTTTAAACTGAAAATTGCAGCCTTTCTAGATGTAGAATTGACTGACATTGAAATAGAGTAGAGTATAATAAAGCTGCCACTGAGTATATAACTGAATCAAATGGTCTGATGTTGGACTGAGGTCCTTTTTTCATCTCATGGCCTCGGACTCTTCTGTGCCTGCAATAAAAACAAGTTTGCACAGATAACCGCCCCCCTCTTCATCTGAAAGCAGGCTTACATGATTCACTAATATTGTCTGACAACAGCCTTGCAGTTTGTCCCAACTCAGCCTCCAGCTCCGTCTCTCCAGCTGTGGTTTCTGCCTGATCAATGTGTGTTCTTAGCGACTCCATCTCTCTCTAATTAAGATATTTCCCTGTGTCCTCCTGGTGGATTTCACACAAAGGTCACTCTGACTCTGCTCCCATCCGGGCTCAGGGGCGTCTCAAAGCACAAAGGGATAGCTTGTCACGACAACAAGGATCCCGGCCCAGTGTCCCCTCTTTTACATAAAATGTCAGGGACTGATGACATCGGGGGTTTGGAGATTTGGAGATTTTGGCGTCTGCCACGCTCAACCAGCTCCAGCTCCATCAGACTCACTTACTGGCCTAATCACCTCATGTTTCATCAGAGCTCTCCGACAGGACAAATGATCGCTATAAAACACAGGGAAACAAATTAACCACCGGTGTCAAGATTTTAATGGTTCCAATTAGTCAACACTTTGGGGAATGTGCATTATTAAGAGGGATAACATCCGGCGTCCAATCGCTGGATTCCACCAAGTCAAAACAAACTTGTCAGACACTTTTACACTTGTCCTAAAGGTTTACCTTCACTGTTACTGCTGATTATTAAGTACATGGTGCATTATATGAGTGTAGGGTATTCAGTCAGATGACACCGCACAATAAAAATACAGGAATTCATCTCCACACGCCAATAAACCCATAGAGGTCTATCCTGTTTACAAGCCGCTAAATACCCTAACAAATATTTATTTATGCAGACATATCTCCTTCTTCTTAATTCTCCCCTCTCATCTTCTGCCCATTTGTAAACAAACTTTTAGAAATCCAGCCAACTGGATACCAACTATCCTCCGTTTTAACTTTTTTCAGTTTCCTCAAACTTCCTTCCAGATACAAGCCCTGAGATTTGAACGCACGTCTTCCAGCAGCTTCTGTCTGATTTGTTCCCAGATTACATCCTTTTTGGAACGTCATTCTTTTGGCACCATCTCTGTTTTCTGCAGTGGTCTGATTCCAGGCGGGGAACCAATCGGACTCCCTTGAGCGGGTTCCCAAAGGGTTAGTGAAGCCAGCCAGACAGACAGAACTGTTCCTGCACTGTTATTGTAAAGACAGACGCAATATTTTGTTTTCGTTTTAAAGTATCGACTTCTTTCAACTGCGAGCGTAACAACAGTCAGCGTTTGAACTGGAGTTTAAAGACCCCCTACTATTTCTGAAAGGCCACAATTTCTTCATGTAAGAACTGTTTGATGTACAAACCAGTGTACTTGAAATACTTCTTTTTACTGATATGTCAGGACTCACAAGAGTTCAGAAACACCAGCATAAAAATAAAAATTTAACACCACAATATGTGATACGATATGATCTGTACAGTACATACGAGAGGCTGAGGCTAAGAATAACAGTCAGGGATTTAAGATAGGATAAAATATCATGTCTAACTGTATGTAAAGAAACAGTATGGTGCACGTTTGGGAATGTAACCTGGACTTCAGAGCTGCTAAACAGACTCAAAACCAAACAAACACCCAATGCAAACAAAGAAACACAAAGAGAACCACAAAAAAACACAAACTGCAAAACATAAATAAGAGAAAAGAAGAACGTTGTGATGCAACTGTGAGAAATACAGTTTAAAGTGAGGACTGAGGTGGGCAGGAAGGAGCTTTTAAAGTGTCTTTGTTTGTACTGGAAGATCTGCTTCGTTTGTCTGATGCTAAAGAAGTTGGATTGTGCTTCTTCATACTTTGAAAACAAATGAGTTAAAATGGTTTATGTATGTTGAAGTCATCCCCAGATGGGACTAAAGCCAGATCAGGATGAGGTTTGCTCAGACTGCAAAAAAAGTGCAAATTTTTTCACATGGCAACAGTGGAGGAGGCTACTAGAATGCTTGGGTGGACTTAAAGCGATAGCGGCTTAAGACAGATGCCGAATGAGGGTTTTCAAAGACAGCAGAAATATGTTGAGAGTTTGTTGAAGAGTAAATAATGTCAGGAAACTTTCAGAGGGACGATATAGAGATAAAAAAAATGAGTTCATACTGAGAGTGGAGGATCGGGGGGGTCAGGATACACTCTCTGCACAAAGTGCTCATCTACTGACCGGAGGCAGAGGTTTAAAGTCCTCCTCGTGCAAAATTAGATTTAACCCAGGAACCACAAATATCGAAATATTTTACTGTTTAGGAGCAGAAACACTGACATTGTAATAGAAAAAAATCCCTCTTTAAATAACTGAAAAAAAGAGAGGCTTATCAAAGTGATTGAGGTTTATCCTCTGGGGATCATGAGTACTGATGTAAAATTCCACGACAGTCCAAGATTGATTCATTTTGTTTAGAAGTGAATTTAAATACAACAAAAAAATAAAAGACTAAATTAATTACAATAACAATCTTAAGATTCGACTGAAGTGAGGAAAGTAATAATATATTTTACAGAAGAGGCAAACAGAAAGGTGCATGCCATTAATAGAGTCTATAAATTAAACAGGGTTCCTACACAGTTACACATACTTTTCCATACCCTACTTTTTTGAAGTATTTTTGGAAATACCGACCTTTCTAGTTTAGAAAACAGTATGTTTTTTAACAAGTAGTAATAGTCTCAAAACCTCAATATTTTTCCATACTTTATTTTTCATTTATCATACTTTTTAAGACCTGGGAATTGATCAAATTACTTCCATATATTTCCATACTTGCGTAGGAACCCTGATTAAAGTTTTTAAAGAACCACTCAGGTGATGATGCCTCCATGACCTCTGGTGAAACATTTACAAAAATTCTGCCATCAAAAATAAATAAATAAAGCGTGTTTGCAGCATTTATCACCCACCACAGGTCTTAAATTTGTTCCCCTGGATCTGGTGCAAACGAACCAAAGCAGAGACACTCTTAAAGCTCTAACTGCTCTCCCATCCTGTCTCTCCGAACTCTGAATGCACCACGGCTCACTGAGCTCTACGCTGCATGCAAGAGGGGTCAGATGAGGACCCTTCCTTCCCCCCTGCCTCTGCATGACACTCCCTCTTCTTGTTTTTGAAGAAGACGCTTCCTGTGGGGTCTTAAGAGGGTGAGGCGCTGCTTTACATCCTAAACAGACCTAAATTCACCACCCCTCCCTTTACTAAACTCCTTGGCAAGAGCATTTGAGTGTCTGTGCATGTGGGGGGATGTACAGTTTTTGCTGTCGGAGTGCACGAGTGTGAAGATCTTTTTCTGTGCATCATGTAAGCGTGCAAGCGGCAGAGACGGTACATCAGATTTAAGCACAACCAGGGACAGATAGACGCAGAAGAGGAGGCTTAAAAGCACCGCAGACGCCACTGCTGCTGCTGAAGGTGTTCGTCTGTGTGTGGATGATAGAACGCTTGTGTCGCTCATCGTCTTTCTGCTCACGGCCGCGGTTAATTATTCACCGGGGTTGTGCTGCAGAGATGAACTGAGGGGCTCTGGGATAAAGGCACTGGAGGAGGAAGATGAAATTATAAAATCCTAATGACGGAACTCTGGCTGAATGGTAATTTCTTAAATTGATTTTGAAGAGGTGCCCAGACGTAGGCGGCATGGAGAGACGTCGAGATGGGGCATGGAGAGGTTCCCTCCTTCCCTCTCTTTCTCTCTGGACGTGTTCCAGCCCTTTTCACCTCTGGCCTGATCCCCTCCGTTTTATCCCTTCTTAAGTTTCCCCACCACACATCTGTCCTTTTGTTTCAATCCCTTCTACTTAACCTCAACTTCACACCTTTGAATCTTCATTTACCTCTGCAGTGTGATTATCTTATTAATGATTAACTCATTTTCCTCCGCAATCGTGTATAGAAAGGGTCTTAAAGGTGACCGGCAAATTGGTTCATTTGAACAGAGGATATAATGTGAAGCAGCTTCATAAAACGAGAAGAAAAGATTCAGTAAATTCAACAATTTAAATGTATGACGGATTAAATCCAAGGACAAACATGTGCAGATGGAGAAAATGTGATTGCCTTACAATATGCATGCAGTATTTAAACATATACTGCATATGCAAAAACAGCTGCAGAGCTGTGATAAACTACAGGAACCATTAAGTCCTGAAATGTATAAGTACTAGTTTGTCATTGTGACGAAGACGCTTGTTTTACACACGAACTGTCGTCTTATGTTTGTTTCTGAAGTGAAGTTTTATTGTTAGGAGACTCTGTTCTGGAAACACTGACTCAGTTTTAGTTTAAGTCAACCTAGAAACAGCCACAGGGTTCCCACCTGTCAGTCAAAGCAGCTGCACCTTTAATAAGACAAAATTCATGATTATAAAAACTTAAAATTAACAAGTTCTAGATAAAATCCACTCCCACACAGACAGAGAAAAGCGCTGTTCAGACTAAAATCATTATTTTTGGACCAGGCTGTAAACATGCAAATCTTTGCTTTTTTGAATGGGTGTGTATGTGGTTTCCAGAGCTATTAAGACCAGCCCCCGGTGGACACTTAAGGAACTGCAGGTAGTTGCATAAACACAGGGCAGGAATATGATCTTCTCAGTCTGTATTTGAGTTTTTAGCCTTACAAAAGTACTGCAACATATGAAGCAGGAATATGACGAGTTATTCAAGGATACAAGGATGTAAGTAAAAGTAAAAACAACCAGTATGGATGACAATGAAACTGAAATTTAGTTTGTTGGTAGTCATCCCAGTGTGATCTACATCTATTGAAACCTTTCCCTCAATACTTCCTATATCTCTCCCCCAATTTAAGCAGGATTTAAGCATTATTATGCGCCTGGTAGTAACTCGTCATTCTTGTTAAATGCCGCCAATTTCAGCGCTGCAGGGACACATCCCTCCCTCGATGCCTGAATTATTTAAAAGAAATACAAAACTATCTGTTTAAATATGGGTGGATCGCCTCCATCTACATCCACAGCAAAAAAAAAGTGAAGCCGCTGTTGCACAGAGGTGTTCGAGATTAGCAAAGCACGGCCAATTCCCACGGCAAATAAAACTACTTAAAGATCAGAAATTAAGACAAGTCATATCTCAACATCAGCTTCAGTTGGTTTAACTCTTACTGCCTCACTTTGAAAAAATCGTCCATTTCTAGGTGGTGTCTGCAGTGGAAAAAAAATACACAATATTTGTATGGTGTGATATAACAGCATATCTGAGGTGATACATGCTCTGAGCTTGGTTACACTTGTGAATTCACATGTTGCATTAAACATGTCCATGTCTCTCTGAAAGCCGCTGTGCATCCCTGCATACCAACGCTCTCCGATTCCTCTTTTCCCCCCGTATACATGTCACGTTTTATAATTTTATTGAGCACAGCGCTCGCCTCGAGGGTTGCAACGTCATTCAACCGTCAATCGAATCAACGTTGAAAGGAGATGTCAATGCAAAGTATTCTCCTCGGGTTCAAAAGCGGTTGTTGTGTTACCGTTAAACAAAGCACTTAACCTTCAACTGGAGTCGCTCTGTCGATCTGTATGGACGGATCAGAGGACGCTGAATTAAACCTTTCATACTTCACCTTTACATCATATCCCATTCACACTCCGGTCTGCAATCAGAGGCATAAAAACACACATTTCTCTTTGATCCTCCCTCTCTGTCGGCGCCCTTTATCTCATCTACTTCTCCTCCCGGTCTATCCTCTGCGGCGAGCGCGCCATCACGGCCTGACCTGTTACCCCGTTATCCAGAGGAGAGTGAAAGGCTCAGTGATTGACAGAGATAAGACCTCTAATTAGAAGCAGTGATTGGGGGCTCTAGAGGGGGCTTAGCTTCCTGGCAGGCAGAAACAGAGACGTATCCAGAGCGCCCGACCCCTCCGCATTTAGACACACATCTGCTATCGGCAATCAGCTCAGTGTCCCTAAAACTGGGGGGAGAAGTTCGTGCAGCATGTCGCCCGTCAATGTCATTCACTGTCCCGATGAAACTGCTCGATACGAAGAGTGCCGCGCTTGCAAAGTGTGGAAACAAAAGGGCGAGATTTGTCTGGTCATGTGCAGACACACACACAAACACACAGCTAACCCTGCTTTATATTCATTAGGAGTCTCAAGATGGTGCACACACATGTTCTGAAAATAGTGCCAAAATAAATCCAAACTAAATGAGTTTAATCGCGGACATAAACAAGAGAAGATAAACTCAAATTTACCGTATACGCTCACATCGGACGTACCATTAGCGTGCAAAAGCCTGACTCAGTGCTCTTACCGCTGGCGCTGGATTTACAGTGTGGAAGTGCGATCGGGCTGCAGAGATTTTATAGTCGAGGCGAAATGTCACATCATCTCAGCGCTAAGTTTTATGACTCTAATCTGGCCGGCTGACACAGACACAGCACGCACTAGCATGTTGAAAATGGAATAATAGTACATTATGACACACAAGAGCATTCATCAGCGAGGTCTTTGCAGCTGGAGTCGGTTGTCGGATCGGGCCAATTTATGAGCAGATACGTCGGCAGACTAATTCCAAATATGAGGGCGTCGTCATTTGAATAATCTACACCGGGGGAGCAGAGGGCTAAGGGATATTTAACTTGATGAATAAGCTGGAGCTGTACAACTTGTGCTATCTGCTAAGGTCTTAAATCTCGACTGTATCCCGAGGTAAAGGGGTGAGACTGTGGATGGGGAGGAGTTCACGTTGGTGCGAAGAGAGATGGGAGAAAAGGTCAGACAGTTAGAGTGAAGAATAAGTAAACGCGCAGACTCCGACTAAAGAGATTTCTCCACAGACGCGTCCACTAAAAAGACAAATTAGTCCAGGAACAGGCATAATCCATGTCTGTGAAACTGGCCACCAGTGTTTTCTCTCCGGGGAGCCGGGTCTTCATTACAGCCCCGTTCTTCAATATCACACCCTGCCAGGAAACCGGTCGCCTCAGCAACAGTAAGAGGAATTTGCTCTGTTAAAAATATCTTCTGCTCGTTCAGCCTCTTCTGTACATCACTGTTCGAAACCATTATGAAACTAGAATTACCATCCGAGTCTACTGTGCACCAAGTCTGCGTCCATGTCTGTCCAAACTTTTGGATGTATACGTAGTCGAGACTTCAGAGGATGTGGAGTGTATTTTTGGGCAAAATGAAATTTATAACTAGACTGCCAAGTGCAATCCGGGGGGATATCCGCCGTCCTCGCTCAGAGACTTTCTCCAAGCCGGCGTCGCCAATTAATTGGAGCTATTTGTCATGCAAGTCTAGTGTCTGAGGACAGAAGAAGTTGTTTTCTGTACACAGTCTGACAATTTGTGACAAATTTTTGATTTATGATGCAGGAGTATGTAAATAAAACACAGATGACTGCCTCTGATGTTCCTTTTTCAGAAGTGTTGGTGTGTGAGAGAACTCCTTCAAAACAAACAAAAGCAGAAATGAAAATCCCTCTAAGTGTCGACAAGCTCGACTAATGAGATAATTCTGGAAGTCTTCGAAACCGAAGACGAGACGGTTAAGAGGGCTGAACAAGTGAACAAAGCCGCACTTTCCAAAGTAGGTGACAAACACACACACAGGCGTGATCTTAAACACACAATTAACACAGTTTCAAGATGGCACAACAGATTTTAGTAAGATGTCGAAATATGGCAGAGGATTAAATCATCATGGTGGTTTTTTCTAACCGAGCATTTCACAATTAGCGTCTAATTTCTGGGGGAAAAAAGACGGATGACACGACAGCATCAACAAAGTGAAGCCAACACCATATGGGCTCCTAGTAAGGCTGGACAATTACCGTATTTTTCGGACAATAAGGTGCACTTTAATTCCTTAAATTTTCTCAAAAATTGACACTGCGCCTTTTGTATGATTACTTTTGCTTACTAAACGATTTAATGTGGTACAATGCGCTAAAAGATCTGTCGAATGTGTAAGTACCACTTCACAAAAGCTGGAATTATTAACGAACAGCCAATTACCGGTAACAGCAATGAGATTGACTCGGATAACGACAAGAGGGATCGGGACACGCACAGCTGTTTACCTCCGACACTGAAGATGAAGAATTCCATGGATTTGTGGAAGAGGAATGAATCAATAAGTGAGCGAATTTTTCTGTACCAGTATTTGTTTGTTACAATCGTGTTAATAAAGTTTGATTTACCGGGCTGTGTTGTTTTGCTAAATGTGCCTTATGGCACGAAAAATACGGTATGGCAAAAATTATTCATTCAAAACTTGAGTAGGGGCGGGGTTTAATCAGCTGTGTGATCGCCAACGATAACGTGCTAATGCTATTACTTGGCGCACGCATCCTGCACCGTGCAGCACGCATATACTAATACATATTAGTCCAAGTTAGAGCAACTTAAATTTTTAAAAACTGCATGTAGGGGAAACCCTGAAGTTGGTCGTGTTGCCTTGAGGAGCAGACACGACAGCGTGACGAACTTTGCAAACTATTTCCTTTTGCTCGACTTCCGTCAAATTGAAGCCAAAATGTTTCTGAAGTTGTCCTGCCTTTCCTCTCAACCAAAAACAGCCTTTCTGCCATGTTAACAAGGGTGCATTCAAGGTGTTTTTACAGCACAGGATCTGACATACGCAGCACCGTGTGGCGCATTAATCGTCTTTCTTCGGTTAAAATGTTTTTCTGATCGTAAGAAGCCAAAATCGAAATCATGATGAACTTCGATTAATCGTCCAGCTCTAGCTCCCATCAGTAAAGGTCATGAAGCCTGCCTCCTTTAATGGAGGAGGAGGACACAGAGAGAAGCTGGAGATGTCTTCTCCACTTTTTCTCTGTTTTTTTTTTTGTGAACATTTATAACAGTGACCTTTAGCAGCCAGTCATTTCCAGCCAGCCTCAGCGGTTGTTTGTGAAGCCCCCTTCAGGCGTATCTGAGGTAATGCATTCATAGAAAGTGAACAGATGGGGGGCAGATAATAAAAAAGTAAAATTTTTACACATAATGAGGTTAATTTCTGATTCTCAGCACTTGTTCTTCCTCTCCGGCTGAGTAAATATTATCAGTGTGTGCTTAGCCTTGAATGAATGACCTTGAGGAAGGTGTACGCTGTGACTGCTCAGCATAATGGGGAGCAGAGGAAGGAGATGATAGTTATCCCTGTGTGAGGAGAGGAGGGCAGAGCCGTCCCCCCTCAGTGCGGGTCAAACAGGCTCGGTGAAATTAAGAGGAAATAAGGACAGCAGCAGCGGCGGCAGCGGCAGAGACGAGGAGGCAGAGAGCGAGACAGGAGAATGAGAAAGCGGGGGAGATGAAGGGGAGGAATCTGTGAGCTCAGTCAAGGAGAGAAATAGGAGAATTGGAGCATTCCCCCCTCGTGGATACTCAGCATTTATGTCCAGACAGAGAGACAGAAAACATACAGTTTGTGCTTCCTTTGTGTTTGTCACTCCCACTGATGTTTGTTACTCTCTGCAGCTTTAGAGTTAGGCTGCTCTCTTTCGCATTTTAGACAAAATCCTTCTTTAGCAGCTTCTCAGCTCTGCCCTGATACATGAGTCATCCCAGTCCAGGGAGAGCTAAATAAAAACACCAACACACACCCAGACAGCCCATCTGGAAACATACAACAGATCCTGTTAACTAGCTCCACCAAACTTTTATCTAGCAGAGTTATTATCGTAGATGAGCAGAATCCTGCAAAAACAAACTTTGTTCAAACTTGACAAAAAAATCTCTGTACGCTCTGCTCTGGACTATAGTTGCAGTTTAATTAAGTATCTTTTGGAAAGAGTCTATATGGAGAGCAAAAACAGGCAGTAATCTAATGAATAATTTATTTCCGTTACCAGATATCTGCATTCATCTGCTAATAATCGGGTTTAGAAAATACTCGATTCACAACATTTAAGCAGTAAATAAAACTGAACTTAAGTTAATCATGACAGTCTGTCTGTAGACCTCCACTGAGCAGACTGGAAGTTGATTTTAAAGTCTGTTGTAAGTGAGCTTAATGATAGCCAGCTGGCCACCAGGGGGAGCACCATTCTATTTAAGGGCTGGGAGAAACTTTGTTGCTTTACTGATGTACCTGTTGTACTTCCCTGTATGATGCCTGCTCATCACACTCGGATAAAGTTTGTTCTGATTTGCAAAGTTTGTGCGGTTTCCCTTCTTCTGTGGAGAAGGTTTTTTGGCGATGAGGTGAACTGGGTTTGGCTGTGTTGACGTTAGCGTCTCCGTTTCATTTTGTTAAAGTGCGCTAGTAAGCGAGCTGGGCGGCTGTGTATGAGCGAGGGGGCCAATGATGGTTGGAGGAGACACAGGTCGCAGTGAGGGCAACGCAAAGACGAAAGGCACCAGCGGCTGCAATGGAATTGGCGGCGGAGCAGCACGAGGAAAGGCTTGAGGCACCGGGAGTAGCAGCGGAGCGACATGAGGTTGGAGTTTGGCGAGCTGGGATGGCTGCATATGGAACTGTCGGTGAATTTGTGGAGGAAAACAAAGACTGGACTGAGTACAAAATAAAAGCGAAATATACCGGGAGGAAGTTTTCTTAAATATACCAACAGTACATTTTTATTTTTACGTCAGAAGTTGATTCGTAGCCTTTCAAAATAAAAGATATATATGACAGGAATAGGTTTTCAATGTCGAAAGTTGACTGAAAGCCTTTCAAATTAAAAACAAATATATCGGGAGTACGTTTTTATCTTTATGTCAGAAGTTGATTCAATGCCTTTCAAAATAAAAGATAAATATGACGGGTGTACGTTTTTTAGTGTCGGAAGTTGACTCGAAGCCTTTCAAATTAAAGCGATTAAACCAGGAAGTACATATTTTTGGTGTTGTGTGAATATATTTAATTTCTTGTGTTCAACAAAGACAAAATATGAAACGGGATGACCACGTCAACCAGACTAGAGCAGCGGAGGATGGTCCTGACAGCGGAGGTCTACAGACAGACCCCTCTAAATTTAATGGCACTGAACCCCTTTGGTTAAAATTGGGGCACATCTCAGACCTTGTCTCACCACATATAACAGGAATAACACGTGAAAAACATATATTTTTCTTTTCTATTCCCTTGTAACGTCTTATGTCACGATGATATAAGTCTCTGTTGACCTTTACTGTGCGAAGACGACCCTCCATTTCAGCGAGAGAGCATGAAAGTCCATACAGAAAGGAGGCCGCGCTGGTACACACAATATAAGGTTGTATAACTTACATATATGTTACATCAGTGTTCATTTAACCTACTTGAACCTGGATCCTTTCAGAGCACCGTGAACCTGATATTTATGCCTCTTTGAACCGCTGCCATAAGGACCCACTTGAGTCGGTCCCTGCTGTATGTCAGAGTCATTAACTATGAAAGCATGAGATGGATGTGAAGTCTTAAAACTCGGAGACATGGAGCAGGAAAGTTTGCTGCTATTTAGATATCCAACTCCAGTCTCCAGAACTCGAACCTTTACTTTACATCTCATTTTATTTGTTTGAATCTATAACTGTTGGGCTTTTACGAATAAAGAGGCAAAAATAACCTGCAATAGTTGCTCCACACAGATTTCTAAGCTTAAAGATGATTAAGAGAGTGGAAGTTGTTGAATTAAAACACATTAAAACATCCAGCTTCACCTTTTCCAACATCTAAGCTACCTCAAGAGACCCTTTAGTGCAGAGATTAAGCTTTAATTGATAAGAACTTTGCATTTCCTATAATCTCTTTGTTGTGGATAAGTAAATCTGCGATTATATACTCTCTAACTGCTATTTTTCCCTTCTCGCTCACTCCTCCTCCTCGCTAAGCCTTTCAGTGTTGACCTCATTAACTCCTAGACAGTGACAGATCTGCGCAGCATCACGCATGTACAGAGAGAAGACAGTTTAATAAAAGTTTCAGCACTTGCAGTATGAGAATCTAAAATTACCCTCCTGCTGCATGCGAACCGAACATCTCTGCGAGCTCTGTGAAGGTCTCATTATTATAATTGGAGAGCTCTGGCGTGCTCTGAATTAGGGGGAGCACTTTTGTGATCCTTTTTACTTTTGCTCTCGTCAAGAATCATTTTAAATCTCCAACTTATGGGGTTTTGTGATGATTTAAAACATTGCACGAGAAACGGCGAGGAACTGGCGTCTCTTTGAATCTGCAACTGGGAGGAAGAGTGCAGGCTGGGTATTTATGAATGGTTTCGAACAGCGGGAGAGAGATGAACAGTTGGATTTTCCCTGCTCTCATTTCTATGCCTCCTCTCCGTCTCTCGGCCCCCACCCTGAGTCAGTGCGCGGCATCCCGCCGTACGTGACATTCAGCCTGAGTGTGAAAATCAGCAGATGGGTAATTTTTGTTTGTATGCTTAGCGCGGTTGTGCGTGTTGCTGCCTGTGTATGAAAAAGAGAGTGAGAGAGAGAGAGAGGGAGAGAAAGCGAAGGAGCGGGGAATAATTCATGACCGCTGTACCCTATAATTAGCAAAAACTAAATTGCATGTCAATGTAGGAGGCAGTTAAATAGGCCTCAGCGTCTGTCAGAGGACATTAAAAGCCTCAAAAAGAACTACAGTAGCTGCCGAGAGTGTATTTCCTCTCACTCCTTCTCAAATAGGATTGCTAAAATAGGAGCCCATGGCCTGAATGATTCTGGGCCCAGTTTGCCGAGACCAAAACCGCCAATAACTTGCTGATGAATTGCTAATTCTCAATTACTTTTTGGCTTTTAATCTGTTAATAAAAGCGACAGCTCAACCCTAGAGGCAGAATCACATTTAGAAACACAGCACTTTCTGAAAAAAGACGGCAATTTTCTCTTTTTAATTCTTTATCCTATTCACTCTGCTGCCTATGAAGGTCCAGGCTAGCCCCAGGTCCACGCATGTGTGTGTGTGTGTCTGTGTGTGTGTGTGTGTGTGTGTGCAGTATACACCAGAGCAGCACTTCCACAGATGGAGGCTGCTCTCATTTGCAAAGGCTGCCAGCGGTTGGCTGATTGATCAGATTGACTTTTTTAGCGGACAACAACCCCCCAGAGCTTCATCGGAGCCCATGAATCAGGACGGGACGGGGTTTTTCTCTCACTGTTCAGATCCGGTTTATGATGCTGTGTTCAAGATACGACTCCAGAAGCTTTTGATATGATGAAAAATATAAAACTTTGAGAACGACGACAACCAATGATTCTGCTGCAAAGTGACATATTGTGATTTTAAGTAAAAAGGGGGTTCTCCTTTTGTTTAATGCAAAATAAATAGTATTTTTGTTAGGGCCGGGACTTTAATTGTGATTAATTAATTACAGTAATATGGTCTTGTTAAAATTATAAATGCATATTAAAGTTTCAGGTATTCCGCTTATACCGGCGCACCCCAATGTGAGTGAGTGCAGCAGGTTTTTTTTGCTTGAGCTTATGTATTCATTCAGTTCATCATTCATTGATTCACTTGTATACCATTAAAAAAATGATTCTCACTGTTCTCAGGTCAAATATTTGTATGCGATTAAAATGCGATTAATTGCAATTAATTGCGATTAATTAATTACAAAGCCTCTGATCAATTAGATTAATATTTTTAATCAAGTCTTGTTGATCATGGCTCACAGGAAAGTGACTTTACATGTTTATATTACAACGTATTAAAGTCATTAAACTCTCAACATATGTTCAGAGACATTTAAAGCTCCAGTGAAACAGACTGAAATAAAACTTGGCGCCTCTGTATGAAATCAAGACTGTCGGCACAGAAGCAACTTCTCCTCGACTATAATTTTAAATGATAAAACAGCTGCTCAAGGGTAGATGTCAGATGACTCAAAAAACTTTAAAAAACAAACTTTTAAAAACTTTTTTTTCACAGAGAGTGACTCAGTATTTCACTGTTAAAAATAAAATGAGGGAACACTGGTCGGCCCAGTCAGTTCATGCGTCTCTCCTGTGTAAAGACGCTGTAGAGGTCAGCGGATCCACTTCCACCAGGACTCTTTGCTCCATGTCTTTACAAACTCTATTGATAACCGGGTCCATGAAGTATTTTGTCTGATCAGAAAATCAATCACGTTTGAGCTGATCAAGTCTGCTATCAGGTCTTGAGGGTCACTTTAAGTAACATCATACTTTGGGTTTAGTCTCGAGAGATGAATGTTACTGACCGCTTGCTTCTCTATTTATACCATTTCGTAACGACCGCACGATAGCAACACACATCGGTCTACGCCTCCACGCGCAAACCTCAACCAAAACGCCACTCTATAGCAACAAATAATGCTCAGAATTAATCAACAGGACATATAGGGTCACAGACATAGTACTAGACACCAAACATCTTTTTAACTTTGACTAATTTCTTTAACAAAGAGACTAAACACAACTCACCTACTCTCCTCCAGCAGCCGCTTGTTTGTAGTGAAGCTCTGACGAGTCGATCACAGAGTGCGGCGGAGTTTCACAGCTCACCCACAGCCAGACTTCAGAGCGAGTCCTGTTGGTTAAAGTTATAATCCAGTGTTAAAATTAATGCTGATATCAACTGGAGAAAAGCTAATTAGCCAAATAATGGAGGTGACAGACGATTACATTGTGAGGCACATTAGGCAAAAGTAAATAATACACTCTCATGATGTGTTCAAATATACACCAGAAAATGAACTCGTTAACTTGAAATCTTGGCTGAATCTTCGGCTTTACTTTCCTACTTAAAAAAACACAAACACACTGAGATATTGAGTGGGTGAGTTTGTTTTCAGTCCCCTAATTAAAAGGGTGGAGATGTCGGGATGTGTGGATGTGGGGTTATATTCTCTGTTCTTTAAAAAGCTCCATCTACACTTTGATTACTGACCTCCTTTTTTAACTCACTGCTTCCTCCCTCTCTGTGAAAAACACCAAAGACCTGGATTTGAAGAATTCTCCTCTCTCTGTAGTTTAATTGTTCTCAGTCGTATCATTAATACCTCTGATGGTAATTGCCTATCTTCGTGAATTCTCTGCACTGTTGATTGTTTGTAAATTAATGCATAGCTTTGTTTGAAGAGCATGACACAACAGAAGTTTATTAGTGTGCCCCATCTGCTCGGGGGACCTCTGAAGGGCTGTTTACATCACACAACCTGATGTTCATGTCAGACGTTGACACAAGGCTCCATATCTTCCTAATTGATAGGAAGCTGCCAGCATTGAAAATAGCTGAGTGTGCCTTTAGCTTGAATGGGTGTCGGAGGTATTTCCAAAGCCCATTGTGTGGACAGGCCTTAATAGAGAGGAGGACTGAAACTGTACGAAATGTTAAATGAATTACTTGCTACATAAATATTAATGAATGGTACAAGTGAGTCATTTAACGACTCAATAAAATGACATTTACCATGATAGTTAATCTCCAATTGGACAAGACTAATTTCTAAATGAAAAACACGACTCTTAATAGTCACTGAACGTCAGTTATGAATGGGTATCTTGACACGCTGGCACCATGGCCGCACATTACAGATCGTTATATCGCTCACAGGAGTCCAAGATCATTTGTTGGACTGCTATCCTGCAGAAGCGTCGCCATGACACCTACTAAGACCCGAGAGCTGGAGTCGCCTCAGTACTTTTTGGTTTTTGGACGCCTGTACAGCACAAAGCAAATACAGATATTTAATGGAGGAGTAAACGTTTTCAGGAAAGCATGAGAGATTTGATCGGTGCACAAGTAGTTGTATTTAAAATCATCTTCAGGGAGCGCGTCATGACTGTAATTTTGAAGCTATAAGATGTAATCTATCCCGTATATAAATATAGGAGGTACTCAGACTAGATGCCTTCAGAGTTATAAATATCTCCATTATAGGAGGGTTTGAGGTCATAAATTACACCCTGTGAATCTGATGTTTGAATAAAGCAGCAGATAGAGAAATAGTGCACTTCACAGTAAATAGAGACTGATTTGTGACCCAGCCTGTTCCTCTTTAACAGCTGCGAGGAACCTCAAAGAAGATGTCAGTCACAATCTCACTGACAGTTTAAGTGCGCAGTCAGACTCTGGGTTCACAGAGGGTCCATGTTGGGGGTCTATCATCTCAGTGTTGAAGCTGGGGATGAAAAGAGCAGCAAGACTCCACTGAAGGAGGAATTTGCCTCCAGATAAATGTGCGGTTATATTATTTCCATGTTCTCTGCTGTCCATCTAGTCCACGGTTAACCTACATTCAGAACACACCTGGGTTTTGTTTGGAGGAGGTGTAAGACGCCCACGGTGCCACTGTGGATACTGAACTTCTGGACCACACTCGCCGTGATGGTGGTCAGAACAAACACCTAAATGTGGTCTGAGTACTCTGAGTAACACCCACACCAGCAGGCCTCCACTAACTTTCATTTAAAACTGCATGTGCACATTCGCTCCTCTTATCCCAAATTTCCATTTTGCCATCCGCCAGTTCCTACCAGATCCGTTTGTGAGGCGAATTTTGTGGCGGATTTCAGACAGCGGGAATCGCAAGAACTCACAAGAACCTGCGGATTCACATGCAATTGCTTGATAACAAGTTGTCTCTATAAAGACAGACACATAGACATATAAGCAGTAGATTGTGTCCTTCCAGAGGAGGAAATCTACTTCTAGACTTTTAGACTTCTAGACGTCCAGAAAAAAATAGAACCATGGTGATCTGCTACGAAGCCCGCTGAACCGCAGGGGGACGGAAAGAAGCCAGTGGAACCTGACAGATTAACTTGAATGGAAACGATCAGCCACAATCGGCGCCGACGGCCTTTTCGCTGCCATTCCGAATGTGGTGGAAACTGGGGGTTAGCTTACAGCCTAGTGAGCTGCTAGGAAAAAGTTTGAGGCTTTTAAGAAAACCCAGGAGGAAAACAGAGTGGCTTTAAATAACTTCATTTAATAGGAGATCTTTGCAGGAACACAGAGAGTTAAAGAGCTTTCTTCTAATCAGCCAAACACCAACATAAATCATCTTCAGAAACAGGGAAGGATTAACACTCGATGTTTTAAAGGAGATGGTTCACAAAGAAGGATGTTGACGCTTTATTTTCTCCTGTTTATTTTTCCAAACATCAAAATGAAAAAAAAGGGGCTGCGAAAAAAACGCAATGTTCAGATATCCAAGAAGATTCACTTTAAATGGATATTTTAGATTTTGTGTTTTCTTCAGGTAATTGCACCAGCTGGTAAAATGTAGTGTGGGTCAGGCCGTGAGATCGGTAATGGAGGGTTTGTTCGACCACTGAGTTGATGAGTCAGCTAAACAGAAGGTGAAAGCCATAAATTTTTAGGTCTGTGAGATGGATCTGTGAGGGCAGATCTGCTTTTTCTTCGTGGTCTGAGTCCTTTGTGGCGCCCCCTTCCCTGGCAGTTTCATGGTCATGTATGACTGACCCCAAGGGAGACCTAAAACTTGCCTGAAGGATTACCCATCTCATCAGGTTTAGGAGCACTTCAGGAAAACCCCCAAGAGGAGGGAACCGGCCAATGACGCTGATAAAGCAGATATTTGGACCGCCTAGCTGAGCGGGCTGCCAATGGAGAGATGGTTGGATGGATGGATGGACAGATGGATGCATGAGTGGATGCACAGATTGAGAGTTGGGAGGTATGGACAGACGGATGAATGTTCGATGGAGTGTTTGAATCCACTTTTAGAGGACTGTCTATCACCGCTGTGTTTGAATGTGTACGTTTAAGAGAGCTGGACAGGTTCTGCCGCACAATAGCAACAAACCACCAAATTATCCCATCAACATCAATTACTCATCCGCCGCTGAGCAGATTCACAACAAGATACTAAAAGCTCCCACAGCCTGTTCGCAGTGACACAGCCAATTACTGCTAGTTAAACCTTGGAAGCCAAAAATTATTACAAGGCCTAAAGGTCTTCTGGAGCGCGCACACGCTGTCGACAACTACAAATCCCCCCAAAAAAGAAATTGTCAGAGTCGTGTAATTATTGCAGTTTCTGGTTTGGGAAAGTTCCACGGAGCAAATATAAATGGCGTGACTCCTTCTTGAGATGCAAAGCACTTTGAAACTTTAGAGTTAAACCTTCTGAAAAGAGCAGTTGCCAAGAAATTCGACACTCCTCAGCGAGTCGCACGGCAAACAATCGTCAAACAATCGAGTGAAATATTGTTTTCCATTTCATTATCATACAAAGCAGGTGTCGCTGTAAGCAAATACCTCGCCCGGGAGACACATTGGAATTTCCGCAGCAATGTTTTGTCAAATACCCGGTTTCATTTCACGGGAAGTGCTTGAACTAAATCTGACAAAGATCCTCATTCGCTGCCAAACATCCCCACTCAAATGATCTGGTACTTGGTTTTTAAAGCCCATCATCCTTAAAGGGGGGAACATTTCTCACACCATCAACAGAATCTCTTTACATGCTTTATGGAAAATAAGTTTTTTTAACACTGGTTGTAAGATGAAACGACTCTCTGAAAGGGACGTTTCTCGCTTCGTTCTGCCTGTTTTTTGGCTCTCGTCATAAATCCCTTAAATCTGTTTCCTCTGCAAAGCGATGCGTTTTAACTCCTAGCTCATTAGCGGCACTTCAAATCCTCGCTGTATCGCATCTCCTTCGCCTTTCATTCAATCACGTGCAACAGCAGCAGCAGCAGCAACAACCCCTGCTCTCTTGCACCGTGTCTGAGCCGTCTTCTCCTTTTCTGTCTGAGGAGCGTGCGTGAAGGTGGCTGGTGTTGCCCTTCTACCTTTCAGTGCACATCAGTTTTATGCAAATCCGGAACAGCAGGGTGCGTGGGTTTTTAATTGAGAGAGAAAACAAAGTTAATCTAGTTGGATAAACACTACCTTAAAAAACAAAACTCAGGGCATCCTCTCTTCCTACGCTCAAATATTCTGCAGAAAATATGAATACTGAAAAGGACGTGTGAGGTTTTGATGTCTCTTGGAAATCGTTTCACCCCAAAGTGGCGTGGAAAGTCAACAGAAAAGGAATCGTGACTGGAATGAGGTATTGACGCCACCTCCTGTCCCTTGGGGCGGACAGATTAGAAATGGCGGCAGCGAACACAGGAGGGGGGTGCGGTGCAGTGCAGTGCAGGGGCACGACGACAGAGCAAGTTTAGGAGGGAGGAGAGAGGAGGAGGAGGGGCGGGTTATTGACACACAGATTAAATGGATTTCCCTGTAAAACCAGTGGATGAAAATCTAACAACTCTGACACTGGTGCATTGGGAAATGAAAGCAGCAGAGGTGCCTAATAGCAGGTTTCATGGTACAGTTGTAAAGATTTGGAGTAATGGTTTTCACTGCAGTGCTTTGTAATCTTTTGTGGCTCTCGATTTAAAATATGGAGGGATAGTCCAACATCCACTCGGGGGGACAACCCAATTATCAGAGCGAGGGGTAGTTACAGGCTGTTTTTTTTCTTCTTCTAAAGACTGAAAAGGAGCTAATCTTAATTATTCAGGTGTTTAAAAGTGTTATTAGTCAAGTCGACGTCCCTAAACTAAAAGGCCACAGACATAACAGCTGGGGTTTTTTATGTGGTCCACGCTCCACTGGCTGCAGTCTGGTAATTTCAATAAAAATGGGAGAAAATTGGAGGTTGTTTCCAAGGGGAGGTTATAATTAGTTGATAACAGCTGACAGATGCATTAGAGGTTAGAGCACATCTGGGTTTTAAATGTGTTTTGTAGGTCAATTTGAAATGTCCGAGATCACAGGTGTTGGCTCCAATAAATCCTAAATTGAAAGGGTTATGGTTTATGGGATTTGACAGCCCCCCGACAGTGAGAGTGTTTCCCCGTTTCGTCTTAGAAAACCGCCGAAGGAATCTTCCCACCGAAGCATCGATCAACTCTAACCCCATGTTAATATTGTCAGAACATATTTAACCTTTAAAGCTGCCTTAATCTATATTTCAGTAGAAAAAGCGGCTCTAATAAACCCCGCGTACGTGGCTGCTCCGACACTAGAAGGCAGACAGACACACTTAGAGACTGGCTGGTGAATTTAGTGGAGCATTAAGCAGCAAAAGAGCCAGAAATCTCCCTCTGGAGTTTGTGCAAACTAAAAGAGTGTTAAAAGGACAGTGAGTTTGGGTCTAAAGTTCTTCATGTGGGAAGAAACATTATTAATAATTAAGGCTAATGGTGCGCAATGTCTGCTGAGTGTGGGAAAGGCCTCAAACTTTTCTCACATGGAAATAAAAAGGGTGTCAGAATGTCTTTTTTTGGTTCACAGCTTCTTCCACCCTGACATGCTGGAAAAAGTTCTAGAAACAAGTGAAAGTTTCTTCGTCTTCTTTCCACATTTTTGGGGTTTTTACTCTGCAGAAAATTCACACTTACTCTGAAAACTGCTGCACAGAAAAGAAAAGGGTAAAAACTTAATCTGAAGTTCTCATAGTAGTGATAAAAAGTCCAGATTAGGGAGAGATTGGCACACATGGGCGGACATCCTTGGTTAGTTGACTCACTTGGACCTGGGTATTGAGTCCTAGTCTTTCACTGTGGCCTCTCTATTCAACACACAGATTAGCGGATCTACATGGATCCACCTGTTGCAGAGTAAAGTCACATAACAAGACTTTTTTGCTTGGGTTGGCTCAGCTGTGTTTTTACTTTTACACAATATTCAGATTTGTCTAATAGTCTGTACTCTGAGAGGATCCATCCAAACATAAAAAGACATATAAGAGAGTAAAGATGGTTATATTATATCTAATGGAGGCATAATTGAACCCTGACCTTTCCTGTGAATATGCTGTGTGCATTAGGGCTGGGAATCTCAGGGTACCTCACGACACGATAGGATACGCGATACATGGCTCACAATAACGATAATATTTCGATATGGGGATACTGCGATTATCGAGACATTGGTCCCGGTAACCTGATATATCTGTGTAACAAAGAAGGACACTATTTTAAACTCATTTAGAAAACAAGCGCTGGAACAGGTTTTTCAGTGAAATATTTACGGCTGGGTCATCATGAAGCGAAGCCCCTCATTTTCCACAACGCTGTACGGACGAAGGTCCTTACATATATACACAGAAATGTCATGTGTCATTGCTGTTGCTCTGGGTGAACTAAACTGAAGTTTTGCCTGACAGATAGAGTCAACACTTGGCTGTACCAAGGAGTCAGTAGGTACAGTTTTCTCTGCAAGCTGTGTGGCGAATTTTCGAGAGACACTTCTGAAAGTCCTTTTTTCCAGCTTGGTCCCGTCAACACTAAAAATGCCAAAATGTGTCCATACTCTTGATTTAAATGAAGCAGGTACTTAGCTCCAGTCCACCATATCTGCTCCGTTGTTTGTTTTTTCACTCTCTGTGGTTTTGGCCCATAGACTGTACATATACTATGGACATCTTGGTTACGCCTCCAGAACCAAGTTGTCCATAAAATCTGCGATTTTTCTTCATTTCCTGAAACTAGCATTGCACAGAAGCGTTGTGCGCATTTGGCGGGAGAGTCGCCGAAAGTCGCTCTAATGACATTCAGCTCAAACAGCGTATCCCCTGGGTGAGCTACGCAATCCCTGAACGCCAACAGGCCATATCAGGTGTCAATCATAGAAAACATGAACCCCCTATGAATGGAGCTGTATAGAAAAAAGAGGACTTGAGCACAAACCAGTCTGACAGTAACTACATGTCAACATCGCAAACAGCTTTGCTGGTGGAGGCAGGATTTATGACCTATACTGCAGCCCGTCAACAGAGGGTGCTGTTCTCAGAGTGGCTTCACCCAGCGAGGAGGCAGACTCTGTCCATTCTATATACAGTCTATGATTTGGCCCAACAGTCACTCATTCGCCTGAGGAGCGCCCCCTGGATGACATGTAAAACTCGACTCGAATCGCTAAGGGGGAGCGATGAAAGAAGTGTATAGCGGCGAGCACGCATCGATAATCCATTGTTATGTTAAATATCGCGATAGTTCGCCATATCGATATTTTGTCACATTCCTACTGAGCATATCTGAACAAAGGGAAATAGCATTGCTGTTTTGAATGAGCATCAATACAACATTTCCCCCCTAATGTCACCAGTTTGACGACGTTAAACAGAGTCGACAGGGATGGACTAAACTTTCTCAGCCTGTGGAGTTTACAACAGAAAACTTTAAAACTCACTTAATAACCATTAAAGGTGCCAACAACAAAAAAAAAGGGTTCAGTCCTGATGAAATCATAAAAGGCTCAAAATCCAATTGTGAGCGCTGTAGGTGCTCATTGATTCTTTAGCATACAGACGGTGAAACCCAGGATCCACTTTTCCAGACAGGTGAGAGATGAGAGAAACTCCTATTGAGCGATTGCACCGAATTACAGGAGCTAATGGAACAGTTGCGCGGCGCTCACAGCGGCGTCAGGAGTCAGGACTGTGCGAGGAGGAACTCGATGTATTGACTTCATACTTTTGATCTCGGCCCGTTTTTCAACACCGCATGTTGCAAGAAACGAGACATCGCACAGTCCTTTAACCAGAGTTTGAACTTTTTGTAGCATAAAGGCGTCATTTTAGGAGCGTCGCTTTTTGGACAGGAATTTAATATAGTCTCGTCTCATGTGTGTATTTTGTGCGAGTCGTCTCCCCCCACGCCTCCCCCCCCGTGACACTGACTAACTGCCGGTCTGGGATGTCAGAGGACTGCTCCTCACTTTGATGATGACTCGCTGTGGCACGCCGCCTTTGATCGTCTCCCCAGCTTTGTGAATAAAGAATACGCTGTGATTGACGCCGCGCACATTATGGCCGTTTGAGAGTTGGCGGGGGAGAAAAAGACACGTCTGTCATGTTGAAAAGGGGGCTCCTGTCTCCGCCGCTGAGGGCCAAGTTAGAGGCGATGCACTCTGTAAGCTGCTTTCAACATCTAACCCTATACGCGGCCTGTTATCGGCGCTCCCCCTGCAATGAATCGACGCCGTCTTTTTGTAGTGCGCTGTGCGGTTTGTTTGATTTCAGCAGCGTTTCATCAACACCCACGGCTATTTTAAAGCACAGGCAGCCTGAATGCAGATTTGCGGGTTCGTTACACTTATGTGCCGAGATGAACTCTCCGCTCTTATCGTGAAAGGGGGACGTGACGGAGCGCAGATCTGCCGTAATCAAGCATAATGGGTGATAAAACGTGCTTAAACCTTCTGCTACGACACACGGCCCCTGTCTCATCCTGTTTGGTATTCTCAGCCGTAGAGGCAATTACAAGAATATTACGCAGGATAACAAGAATACGGACATCAGGAGAAACACAAAACCGGTATTTTGTCCTTTGATATTCCTTTGATATGCAGGAAATAGATCTGAAAAACAAAACCTGTTGGTAATAATAGCAAAGAAATGCAAAAACAGGCGTCTTTAGAATTCCAACAAGCAGCGTATACAGATCCATTAGATACAGTGGATATGCTCTGTGAATAATGCACTGCAGACAAGGCTAAGCCCTACGGGGGCAGCTGAGTCTGGTGGTTTTAATACGTTGAGGAAATGTGCTGAGCGCCTCGGAGATGTCACACACATTCATCAGTGCGACGAAGGGGAATCAAGCTGACAACTCTGCATACAGGCAGGTTTGTTATTGGAGGGATGTGTTAACATGTATTCAGGGATTTAAGGGTATAATACAGTGTGGTGTTATAATCACTGCTGGATGTGAGAGATGGGATTAAGACGTGACCTGCAGATCTTGTCAGCTCTCCCACATGCACACACGATTTACATATGTGCATGTACGGGTGTTTACTCGCCTGAGTACTGGGAGAATCCAAAGCAATCTGCCACCTCCTCTGAAAGTATCCGAGCGCCGACTGTAACACAAAGGACGGCGAGGAACACCTGCCGAGATGATGGAGATGGCGGACGGCCAAGACGACATATGGGTCTCATTCTGGCCCTAATGAAGACAACCTGACATAAATATCGGACAAAACGGACCGCTCTGGAGACCGGCACTGAAAGATTTGATCAAACCTCGGCGGTGTTATGGCAGGAGTAGAAACGTGCGAGGAAAGCAGAGTCTGGGCCGTGGTACGATAGATTTAATGCATAACAATGTGGCTTTCCGAAAGTAAAAACATTTCAGTGATCCTTGAAGCTTTCAGGTAACAGAGCAAAAGAATTCACAGTTGCCGGATGAGATGATTTCGTTGCTGTAAACAAGTGCGAGCTCAAGGTGTATGAAGTGTCAGAACATCTCAGCGTTAAAAGCGAAAAGCTTTCTTAAGCCGGGGAGACGTTGCTATCCTCGAGCTCTGAGACGGTGTCAAAAAGACGAACATCAGAAGCATGAACACGGATAATTAAGAGAAGTCAGGGAACTCAAAAGCAGCACCTGGAAACAGCATCTATCCTAAACTTTAAACCCTTTAAATTGATTTTTCCCTCATAATGTTGAAAAGTGGAGAACCCCGTGCCAAATACTGCTCCTCCGGTTTGTGCTGACTGTCTTTTTCCTTGGCCTGAGCGGACCTTCCTGTTGTTTTTTAGAACAATCAGCAAAACAAACAGAAAAATGGTCGTAATCCAACTCACTGTCTAAACCTTTGTCCTTGTAGTGATCCACGTTTAAGCCCGCAGACAGCGAGGGCGCCTCGGACCGCCTGACGAGGACGCTCTGCCTGTTTAGAGAGATAATAACTTGGACCACAGACGCGGTAATAGCCTCCCCCTGAGAAGAAATGTTGCACTGCCACTTCACAGTGTTGTCTATTTATAGAGCAGCATAATTAATATGCTGTAATTGTAAAGCTGTGATGTACAGAGTGCACTGCGAAGAGGCCCCTGTGTTCTCGCAGGAGGAAAAAAGTCGAGCAAAGATGTAAAACGATAGTCGACACGGCTGTCAAATCACATATCAGCGGACATTTCTTTCCTTCTTTTCTCTATTTCTGCGACGACACCGAGGGCTAATCTCCAGCCCGGGGTGATACATTATAAATGCCGAGCAGAATATGCAAAACGGAGCGGTGCATTTCTGTCATGGCTTCACACTGACAAAGGCACTTTTCTACCCTACATGACAGAAAGGATTAATAATCATCCATTACTGTCGGAGTTCATCAGCGTCCCGGATCGTACCGGGGATCCGTGTTTCTCAGCTGATGTCGTAATCCCAAGGAGGGTCCAAACCGTGGTTATGATCACACAGGCTGTAATCCGTTCATTAGGGGGAAACAATCTCAAAGTCCTCTCTTTTTTTTATTATAATTAATGGTTTTTAAATGATGATGTGATGTACTGTATACGCGGGAGCAGCCTCCCTTATAGTATGTTAATGATCCGCAGCATTCTGTTAATCAGTCAATTAATCACCATCTTATGAATTTAATCTCTTACTTAGTTCCTGTTCTACATAATGGGTTTTAAACATTCAAAGTCATGCTTGGATTACAAATGAGCCTCATCCTGATACCATGATCCTGTCCTACTGGGCTTTATTGACAGGCTCTGATCCGGCACGTTTACAATTCGTCTTTAACAACGTCTCTATGTTGGCATGACTTTGCAAAAAGAGCCCACTGAAGTTATTTAGTGTTTTACTTCAGCACCACGTACAGTTTTTATTTTCCAGGATGAAGAATAACCTCTTCACTATCTCCCTCAAAAAGCACATTTTGCGTTTTAGATCCCAGACAGCACGGCTGAAAACAAACTCATGTTTATTTATCACTTTATACTGAAGCCTCTCACATCAGGAGCTCAGTTAGTCCGGACAAAAGTAAAAAAAAGGGTTTACTGTACGAGAATAAACGAAGCAACTGTACAATTTTAATACGACTTTAAGAGGGAGTGATGTTTTTAAAAGGATTGGTAAAAAAATTAAAATATTGTCTTATTGGACTCGTGTTACAAGTGTTTCTGAAAACCTTTTTAAGCTGCTTTGAAAAGTTTTAAATGACTGGAATCTCTTTATAACCTAAAGTAACAAACAAGACTGTCAACAAATAGAGTGACTTTTTCTATATTTCTTTATTTCTGCATTTTTATTTGATGTGAGAAAAAACCCCGGGGGAGACATCTACGGTGGCCGACAGGTGCCAAAAGACACAACTTCAAAAGCGCCCCCACAGGCCTTTGGGCGCTCCCGTTGTTTTGTTCTTTACAGCTGTTTGTGTTTTTGTATTTGTGTGTTTGTCTGCACTTTTGAAGCCGTGTTGTTTCTGCATTTGCAGCATGCTCCTCCTAAAGAAGATCATTCAGACTATTGCAGATCATTGGCCCTTATCGGCCACCGTAGCTGCCAGAGTGGTTACCTGCTCTCTGCTGATGAGCTGTTTTTCGTTCAGTGATCCATCTGAGTATTGACACAGACTTTCTTTTTCTGCAGAAACACTTTGTATGCAATCAGCAAAGACCACAAAGAACATACAGACCAACATTTATAATCTAAAGGGAGTGTCTGCCGTTATTTCAACATGTTATTATTCATCAGAGACTCATTTTTGGTCATAATTATCAACTTTATCAGTATTAAAGTCATAAACTCCAGCCTTTTGGTCTCTGGAGGACATTTGATCTGACTACACTAAGTCAGGGTCCAGCTGTTTCTGCAGAAGTTTGTTCAAGTTCAGCATATGATGATCACAGCGCTCCTATTTGTCACACAGTCAGTGTTTTCATGGTTGTGTTTAGGACACGAGGTCAACTCTGTGACTGTATTTGAACAAACTAACCCTCCACTGTTCACTAAATACAGTAACTAGCTGCGATTACAAGGGCACAAATAATAGGAATAAAAAAGTTTCATGTAAACATGTCAATCGGAAAATTCTGATCCAATTCGGCTCAATCAGAAAGAAACTGTATTCCGATCTGGAGGGGTGGTTTATGCCGATCGATATTCCAGAACCCGTCCATGAAAATCGTGACTCTCTAACCTGACTCGGTCTTCACTCTTTAGTCTTTCGCTTATTTATTAAGGTTTCTTTATGAACACAAATGCAGGTGTCATACCTGCTCCTCCAATAACATAACAAGGCGTACATACAGCGTAATGATGTCACATCTGAACGCACAGTGCAACCTTTGACAGGACAGTAAAATAAGTAAGCAAGGGCGCCATCTAGGGACAACATCTAACAAGGGTAAACTCTTGAATTGGATGGAGTGAGCTAATACCGTGTTTGTTGGTTTGTTGACAGCACAGGCGTCGATACAACTCTTCTTCTGTGATTGTTTTAGTGAAATCAGACAATCAGATGCTTCTAATCTGAATAAAACCTGGTGCATTTATGATCTGATTATTTGACTCTGCGCCTATATCAGTAGATTCTGATTATCCGATCCCTCAAATCAAGAAATTTTGCACATGTAAACATGGTTACTGAGCATACTACTAACCTCAGGTTAACACTAACTTTGGCTCTGTTATAAACCGCTCATAACTGTTTTAATTCCTTTAAGTTGCTGATTTCTTGAGCGTTTTAACTCCAGCTGCATCAGAAAAGTGTGATAATCTCGTTACCTGACTACCTTAAAAACACATTATCAGGTTAAGTGTGGTGGAGAGCTCCATTGAGCCGTGACAGATCTGAAATGAAGAAGACTCTGTCACACTTTGGAGCGCTCTGGAGGGAGTTCTCTAAAGTGCGAAAAATACCCCTGACGTTGTCACTGTCATTTCGTTCTATTATTAGACAGATGGTGGAGAGATGACAGGAAATGAGATGGAGAGAGGCAGGTATCAACGTGTATCTATAGGTCCCTTCATGCTCGGCGCACGTTACTTTGATTTCCACTTTTTTTTTTTCATATCAATCCTTTCAGGGTCGAGCATCTTAATGTAAAAGCAATAAGAGCAGATGTTTGATTTTTATAAACTCTGACTGCTTTTAAACTCGTCGTTTTTTCAGACTTTTCTTAGACACGCTGACGTAAGCGGCGGGATAACTGCTCTAGCTTTTTGAAGGGCTGGACTAAACGTTATTAATTCCAGTCTGGGTCTGAACGTCAGCTTAGATTACCCTTGTTGGGAGTGGAGGAATATTTTGGGATGGCTTCATTCCTTCCAGGCAGAAGTTTCATGGTCACTTGCTTCAATCTGGTTATAAAAACGCCGCGGCGCTCTCTCTGAATGCTGCACTCATATCTGGAATTGAAACGTACCTCGACTGACAGAAACACTAATGTGATTTATTTGTGTTCTGCTTGGAGGACTCAGTGACAGGAGGAGCAGACAGAAACCAACACAACATTACAGAGTGACAGATAAATTCCCCTCTCTACATAAGCTCAACAAACGCAAACTCGAAGAGGCGTTTCTGCTCAATTAGCACATTTCACCGCCTCTTAAACCTCGCCAGGACTTCTCTATATACTAATATTTTGATATACTGAGTTATTTATTGATAGTAGGCTCCCACTGGTGAGTTAAGCTCTCAGCACCTGTACAGTTTTTCCCATTTAATATTCTAGTAACTGCTGTCGACTGTCAATGAGATGCACCCGCTGACCTCGCCTGTCTCACGCCTGAACACACACATCAGCAGGTTTGCTAAAAGAGGCCAAAACAGAGCAGTTAGAGGCATCATTCAACGGAAATACACCGTAATTGGCGAGCCAATGGAGCTCCAATAAACCCCTCTGAGGAAAGTTGTTATTATCAATTTAAAGTTTGACAAGTTCTAGACGCTGTGCATGCACAGTCAGGTTAAAATGTGCTCTTATTAAACTCTTAACACCCAGTTATAACCTTCCTGTACATTGACACTGCAATCATAACTTCATTGTTTTACATTAGAGACTGACTTATTGGGCCGATAAATGTTCGGGAAATGAATAAATTTGCACAATTTTCCGAGTCGCGCTCGCCTATGGAGGAAAAAGTAGTGCAGAAAAAAAAAGAGGAGGTGCGGAGCGGTTAGCCTCTATACGAGACTTTAAAATTGGTTTCTGCAATTTCTCGCAATAAATCTTGTATTAATTTAACATCCCCAAATTAAACTACCGGGTGTTATGGCCCCAAATATGCAGAATATAATAACATTACCATTGGAGCATATTAAGCCATGAATCCAGATGTCTTGTGACACGTCCCAGACAACAAAGAGGTAATGACATCCTGCAGCAGTCTCACTCCAACATGGGCAATATGTTCTGCCCTATCAATAGTGCAGGAGGCTTTATTTGAGCCAAGCTGACACATTACTTGGCTCCTCATATGTGAAAGGCCGTTGGCAATGAAAACTGTGTTATATGGCCCAGTAGTGCTGACAGGTTTCTTTCTCCCTCTCCTCTCTACCCTCCCCCCTTTCTCCCTCTTCCTCCTCTCCCTCTTCCAGGCTGTGGAGAGGCCGGCACGTGGCAGGAGGAAGAGGAGGGGACAAAGATGGATCTTCAGCTCGGTGTGAGAGCCTCCCCCCAGGGAAGCCGACGTCGGACGCAAGGCCTCATGGGCCGTTGACCTGCTGTCTCCGTGATTTATGGCGGCTGGGGGCCTCTGGCCACTGCAGACTCCTCTCCTCTCTCTCCTCCGTTTCCCGTCACACACGCCGCAGGATTGTAAGGAGCCACACACACTGCACCACCGTCTCCAAGAGGATCCGAAGAGGGATTCCACGCACATGCTGAGCCACAGCGCGCCCGCCGCTTCGTACGCCATCTGGTACAAAAATAGACACCCCCATAAACATTTCTACGCTACAGCGCCGTGTCCCACAATCCCATCACATGTCCATTAGAGTAAAGGAAGTATTCTCCGTTTGAGTGTATGTGGATTACTATCAGTCATGGTGTGTCAGCTGTACAGCCGTCGCTGTAGCTGCTGCTCATGAGCAGAGGCGGATCAATGGAAGTGCGCTGAGTAACGAGGTGAAGCTCCTTTATCCACATGGTCTGAGAGCAATCAGCAGCCAGGATATCTTCGCTGACTCTACACACCGCTCGGCCTCTACATCACAGTAACCGCCGTCATCTCGGGACCGACAGCGCAGTGACTCATAGTATTGTTTCAATATCAGACACACGTGCGGGACATCAGCGCCTGGAAACCTCCGGGTTGGGAGAGGACGCGCCGCCGTATTCCCCGTCTTGACTGGTCTTTCTTTTGGAAGCTGGAGACTGAGAGTGAGAGCCAGCAGGTGCCCTCACCATGGTGTTACCGCCCCCAGATAAACGCCACGTGTGCCTGACCACCATCGTCATCATGACCAGCATGGCCTTCATGGACGCCTACCTGGTGGAGCAGAACCAGGGTCCCAGGAAGATAGGAGTCTGTATAATAGTCCTGGTAGGGGACGTGTGTTTCCTCATAGTCTTGCGGTACGTGGCCGTATGGGTCGGCGCCGAGGTGCGCACGGCTCGGAGAGGATACGCCATGATCCTTTGGTTTCTGTACATCTTTGTCCTGGAGATCAAGCTCTACTTTGTCTTCCAGAATTGCAAGGCGGACAGGAAGAGTTTGGAGACGGTGGCCCGGAAAGCTTTGACGTTGTTATTATCCGTTTGTGTACCGGGTCTGTACCTGGTTCTCGTGGCTCTGGATAGTATGGAATACGTAAGAACTTTCCGGAAGAAGGAGGACATGAGGAGTCGTCTGTTCTGGGTGGCGCTGGACCTTCTAGACCTGCTGGATATCCAAGCCAACCTATGGGAGCCCCAGCGGACAGGCCTGCCCATCTGGGCCGAGGGTCTGATGTTCTTCTACTGCTACATCCTGCTGCTCATCCTGCCCTGCGTGTCTCTGAGCGAGATCAGCATGCAGGGCGAACACATGACGCCCCAGAAGATGATGCTGTACCCGGTTCTGAGCCTGGTCACCATAAACGTGGTGACCATCCTTATACGAGGTGTTAACATGATTCTGTTTCAGGATAGCCGCGTTTCCACCATCTTCGTCGGGAAGAACGTAGTCGCCATCGCCACCAAGGCGTCCACCTTCCTCGAGTACCGCAGGCAGGTGAAGGAGTTCCCCCACCCGCAGAACGCGATGGCGCTCGAGCTGCAGCAGAACTCCGTCAGCCACACGCAGCCGCTGCCAAACGCCACCAGTTTGCCGCACGAACCTTCGCCGGCGCAGGACGTTATCGACACATGACCGCCAGCGCTGGACTGAAACCCATTAGAGAACTGACTGCTTTTTTTTACGACAGCTAAAGGAGCGGAGGTAGATAGAGAAATCAGCTGCATGACAGGATGATATTCAGCTCTAGTCATGCCAACGAGAACCGCTGTGAAACCATCAAAGAGATTTTCAGCATCACCTGCCTGTCAGAACCGACTGTAAACGGACTCTCGGCTCTGAGCGCGGCGTCCGTCCAGACTGTCCAAATCAAGTCAAAAGGTTTTTATTGTGCTGTTGTGTTTTTAATCGTTTCCAATGTTTTCAAACTTTTATGAAGAGACAATCTCTGCACCGCGCAGACCGCTGACATTATGTTTGTGTAAAATGGACTGCTGGTTCCCCCTCGGTGAGTATCTTGTGTTTTTTCTAAAGGTCACATTTTTAACAGTGCATCTGTGGCATTTCCTTTGAATTCCAGCGACCAAAGGACAGAGCACTCAGAGCGAAGCGCTGATGGAGAGGAGGAGGAGGAGGAGGAGGAGGAGGAGCGGAGAGTGACACGGGTCAGGCATTGGGGGGCTTAGCGTGCTGTGCTCCGAGCAGGGGTGGTGTCAGAAGAATGCTTATCTGTCTGTGTTTGGGTTCTGCTGAGAAACAAGCTCTGTACAAGCTGCTGCCTCAGTCAGTGTGACGCTTTACGACCAAAGGTCTGATTAAAGCACCGGAGCTCAGCACTATACCATCTACTGCAGGCATCCAAGCGTGTGTTTCACTGTGTGTATGACTGTGAGTGAGTGTGTGTGTGTGTGTCTATGAACACCCACACTAGTCTATAGAGTCTGTATGCCTGCAAGTGTAGGCGTTCACCGCAGGAGGTGTAGGCTATTTCACAGCGTTTTGAAGCAAATGTGAGTGAGTTGATGTGTGTAACGACTCTCCAATGAGAAAAAAAAACATGTTGAAGAAAAATAAATTAAAAAAAAAAAACAGTATGATGGCAGTGAGACACTTTTTGTTTCCTGTACTGTACATTCCTCTAAAACGAGCTCAAGCCTTGAAAAGAGAGGATGCAGAGTTCAGAGTCAAGAGAGCGCCTCGCTGAAAAATCCACAAAAAATAACTCCTACGAAAACAATAAACAGAAAAAACACTTTTCTGATGATATTCAGTTTATTGTTATTATCATTATTATAATTATTATGTATATTCTTTACTTGTTGGAGGCAAACGATGTTTTAATAAAAGTATTATTACATGAACAATGACGACAGTGTGGATTCTTGAGTAAATATGATTTTTATTTTGCTGAGTCGAAGACCGTCTGGGGTTCATGTCGCGCTCGAGAGCAGCTGTACACATCCACGTCCTCACAGTGGTGTTTTGCATGGACGGATCCACACAGCACATAAGTATTCAGGCTGAGCAGCCTCCTTCTGGACTCCTGCATTAGTTTCTCATCCCTCAGGCGAGCACATTTTGGGAAAGCAAGCCGAGGATTTATGTTTAAAATATCGGGAAAGTGTTTCAACAAACAGTTTCCTCCCTCTTCGTTTTTATCACTGACCCACTTCTTGGTTCTGTTGCAGCTAATCTCGATCACCGATCTGTTATCAGTTAACGACAAAAACAAACCGGTTCTGTTCTGTTTTTTCTTTTTCACGTTCTGACTCAAAGGGTTCTGCCTGGGTCAGCAGCGTGGGTGAAGTCACTTCCCCGTCCTCGTGTTAACGAAGGTTAATTGCTGATCTCAGCTCGCAGAGACGCACACTCAGACCCCGGATGGCTTCACTCCATTAACGACGAGTGTCAGCCGCAGAGTGACAGAGAGGCCGAGGATTACCGCTAAGGAGGGGTGTGCTTGTTTTTGTTTACAGGAGGATTTTTACTGTCCATTCAGATATTACCAAACTAGAATCTAATTTAAAAACTGAAGCTGCGAGACTAAAACAGGCTGGAGTCCTTTTTTCATTGACATCAAAAGGAATATGTGAGTTCATTTCATATTTGGTGTGAAACTGCTGTTGGTTTATGTTCTTATTTAAACGGGGAAATGCGAGTGGATACCCTGACGGCATAAACAACAGCTTCATTATATTTTTGTTTATATTGAGGTACGCCCGAGTCAAACTGTGCTTGGTTGATGGATGCGCTCAGTAAAGGTATATTTACTTTCTTACAGTGCAGGAAGTGCTACGGTTGCTTCAATCTCATCATAAAAACAATCATTTTACTGGGTTTGCGGGATCATATGGGGCTTCCTGTATCTGTACTAATCTTCTCCTGGAGTCTCTTCTGTAGAAACATATTGATTGTTCTTGCCAGTGGAGTATTAAATATTTCTGAGGCATATCTCTGCAGGCATATCCAGTTCATTCTGGTTGCCAGTTTTCAGCTCAGCGCCTGTCTTACAGTAACACTCCACCGTTAAGGCCTAATTACAAAACTGCGAGACGGGAAATTATTTAGTAACTTTGACAGTGAAGTTCCTTCTCTTCTTGTAGGAGATTTGCTGCTGTAGAATTCCTCATCAGACTGATGTGTGGAAAAGCTTAAGGACTGTAGAAAGTTGTGTCCATGGGATTTTTGCCTTTAGTTATTCATGTGTTATATAGGAAAGTTTTTAAAAAGGCATGCAGGAGGGTCGGTACTTAGTCATTATATTAAAGGGATATTTCAGCGTAAAATTAATTTAGGGTCAAACACACTGTAACACCGAGTTACACCCCCCCTCCAGAGATGAATGTTGCCGACCGCTTGCTTCTCTAGTTATACCAACTTTAGTAACGACCGCAGGATAGCAATACAGAGAGTCACGCCCTCAACCAAAACGCCACTCTATAGCCACAAATAATGCTCAGAACAGCACCTAACTTCATCAACAGGACATATAGGGTCACAGACATAGTACTAGACACCAAACATCTTTTTAACTTTGACTCATTTCTTTCGCAAAGAGACTAAACACAACTCACCTACTCTCTTCCAGCAGCCGCTTATTTGTGGCTATAGAGTGGCGTTTTGGTTGAAGTTTGTTAATGGTTCCTCAGACCACTGTGTATTGCTATCCTGCAGTCGTCACTAAAGTTGGTATAACTAGAGAAGCAAGCGGTCGGCAACATTCATCTCTGGAGGGGGGGGTCTAACTCGGTGTCTGACCCTTAATATTACGCCGGAATATCCCTTTAATATAATTGATGTCAATGCATATCATGACTGAGTACCCACTCTCTTGTGTGCCTTTTTTAGAAACTTTCTCATATAACACATAAATACTAAAAGCAAAAATCCCATGGACACAACTTTCTACACTCTTTAAGCTTTTCCACACATCAGTCTGATGAGGAATTCTACAGCAGCAAATCTCCTACAAGAAGTGAAGGAACTTCACTGTCAAAGTTACTAAATAATTTCCCATCTCACAGTCTTGTAATTAGGCCTTAACGGTGGAGTGTTACTGTAAGACAGGCGCTGAGCTGGAAACTGGCAACCAGAATGAACTGGATATGCCTGCAGAGATATGTTGGAATATCCCTTTAAATAGGGTTCGATTCTTACCTCAGCCTCCTGCAGGTGGTCATCCCCCTCGATCTTCTGTCAACATTTTCTGTCTCCCTCCAGCTGTCCTGTCAAATACAAGCAAAAATATCCCAGTGAATAAATTAAAGGTATCATAAATTTCAACAGCATCAAACCAAACATACAAATCAAAGCGTCTATAAAAATCAAAACAAATCCAGTAACCTAAAACTGAAATCGCCTCACTCGACAGGGAGCAGCGAGCGTTTGACACTGAGAAATCTGAAGCTTGGCAGAACTTCATTGAATTTCCTGTCAGGCTGTGAAGCAAAGGTTAAACTTTATTGACCCCTCTTTGACTCCCAATATGCCGGCCTGCCTCTCCAGTGAAAATCCTGGTGTTATTCTGTTATATCAAACTACTTTTTAGCAGTAACAAGACAGTGAAAAACTCCGAGGCTTGGCAGAACTCATGTAATAGGGTTTTCTGACAGGTTTTAGAGCACATGTTCAACTTTTTTGACCCAAACTATTCAGACATGCCCATCAAGAGAAATCCCTGGTGTTATTCAATTGTACCTCTTTACTCCTCAGTCCTATCAGAGGAGTGAAATTGCCACAGGCTTCACAGAAATAACAAAGAGGATTTTAAGTCAGATTATACAGCAAAAAAGTCAGCTCACTTTGACCGCTCTCTGACCCCAAAAAGTTCTTACCTGTGAGCTCAGTTTGATCCTCTGTATTATCTACTTCTACTTTTCTACTGCCGAGGTATGGAGATGATCTGAAAGTGGAAAACATTTCGCAGAAAATGTGAAAATCAAAAGAGTGATATTTTTACAGCTTAGTGTAACCTGCAAAACATCCACAGAGGAATACAGAGAGCCACGCACTCAACCAAAACGCCACTCTATAGCCACAAATAATGCTCAGAACAGCACCTAACTTCATCAACAGGACATATAAAGTGTAGGGGCGCCTACGTCAGCACGGGGGGCTCGGTGCGTGACGTGCCAGCGCGGCCATTTTGACAAACATAACAACTACATCAAATTCACTCGGTTCAGTGGTGGTAGCATCTCGAAATCATCATCTGACCATACACTGTGTTCATATGGGTCGAAGCCAGCAATGTCCGCAATTTTGCTAAGGTAGCGCTCTCTTTCTTCATTGTTCTCTTGTCCCTGTACGGTATGTTGAGTCCAAATTTTGCTCTCTCTATTCCGTTCTCTGTTTACTGTATAGTCAGATAATAAATAGTCAGTGCTGCTACACCTTATAGTCACAAATAATGCTCAGAACAGCACCTAACTTCATCAACAGGACGTATAGGGTCACAGACATAGTACTAGACACCAAACATCTTTTTAACTTTGACTCATTTCTTTAGCAAAGAGACTCAACACAACTCACCTACCCTCTTCCAGCAACTGCTTGTTTGCACAGAGACCTCTGGGCGAGCCATTGACTACAGCGGGGTGACGCAGCTCAAGGAAGAACATTTATGATCATTACCTCATCAAAATACAATCAGATTGAGACGCTAAGGCAGAAGAACTACCGCGTCTGCAGCGCAAAATGATTAATATGATGATTATTACTTCAAGGAAATGAAGAAATTACCATAAATGTTCTTCTTTGAGCTGCGTCACACCACTCAAACACGCTCAAACCTACAGAACATTCTCTCAATTCATACCGTTCATGAACAACAGGCAACAAGCGCTGACTGATTGACTGACTGACTGACTCTCTAGCAAACAGGACAGGTACGGCGCTTCACAGACTGATCATTTCGCTCTCTAACTTCGACATAAAAAGATGAATCCGCATAAACAGACGTTTGTTCGCTCACATACATCTTCTACACCGCTGTCGCTTCGTGTAGACTTTACTTCATCGCTTTTCCTCACCTGAAAACACAGAAATTTTGCTCGGTCCGGTATGATCCAACAGAACTTTTCCGGTCCCGCTCGATTGTGGAGGTGCGCTCAAGCGCCATCAAGACCCACGGGCTGCCCGGAAGTGCCTGCGCGAGCGGAATTAATTTTAACGATACATAAACCGATTAAAATACTAAAGATTCTTTGGTACATGAATATTTATCACATAAAGATGAAACAGAATGACAAAAAGACAAAATAATAACAATACATAAGAGTGTGGGGTGTCGGTGTCCAACAGTAAATAGTTTCAATAAATTTATTTATTGTTATGCCAACAGAAGACAAGAGTCACTAAGAATAGAATTTTTTTTTATTTTCTGTTGAGACTTTTTCAGAATTCTACAAAACTGTCAGAATTTTGATTTTTTTATTTATTTATTTAATTGTCCGATTTAAGTCTTAATTCTGTATGTTTTTAAGAAATCTGAGATTGAAATCAACATCCTGAGAGAAAGTCAGAATTCTGATTGAAGCAAAAATTCTGAAATTAAGGTAAACAATTTTTTAGATTGGACTCAGAATTTGGATAAAAACGGTGAAAAGTTTTGACTTTAACCTTAGAATTCTTTAAAGGTACATTGCGTAGAATTCAGATGCATTTTTCCAAAGAAATACAGCGTGTTGTCCAGAAGTTTGTATAAATTAGTTTAGTGTTAATCATGAAATTTAGTTTAATGTTCTTGCCCCCCCCCATGTGCCTGTGTACTTAATGTTACTTTTTTTTTTTCTTTTTTTTCATTGAGACTTTTTTTTGAATTCTAAAAAAAGTCTGAATGCTCGATTTTTAGTTAATTCTTTGGTTT